CTGAATCAACTAGAGAGTCCCAGATTATGTAATCTTAATGGATCATTTTAGTGACTGTTTATTTCTGGCAGTTGAGTAGCAGAAAATAGGTGCAGGATCAGTTATAGCTATCCTAACAAATATTTTCTTCAATATTTAGTGTTCTACGGTGGTTTATCGAGCCAGCCAAGTATGCTTCTTTGTTACTTAAATTAGTCCTACGTGGGATTTGAATGTGTTTAGCGAATTAGAACCTTGTTTGCTGTTACCATGCTTCCCATGAAATAAGGTCTTGCCTTCATATGTCTTGGGACCAGCTGTTGCAAACTTCATCACTGTGATGCTTATACAATCATATTTCCTCCAGTTGTCTACCTGTGGCTGAATTGAATATGACCTCACAGCCCCCATTATAACATCATCAAGATGCCCTGGCCTGGCCTGCCCTGGCCTGGCCTGCCCTGCCCTGCCCTGCACTGCCTGTACTGCCTGTACTGGAGTTGAATTGATACTTTTTAGTTGATCTGACTTTCTTTCTTATTTACGAGAGATGTAATTGAATATGGCATGGAAATACATAAATGTAGTTTATCCTATTGTAATCTTCAGGGTGGTTGCTTTGTGTCTTTATTGGAACTAGCCCAGTGTAATTCACAGTTGAGATACTAATTAAAACTCCAGCTTCAAAAGTCAGTATTACAAATACTGTGATGATTGTAAGTACTATAGATAAATTAGAAGACACAAATTGTACAGTTATGTAATTAATAAATAATTGATCTTACTGTCTTATTGGGTTGTAAAGGTTATCCACTGTTAGATAGTGAGATACTGTAATATTGTCACAGAATAATAGTGTTATGCAGAGTACTTGGAGTTGATGCACACAGGAATCCAGTGACTGCTACTACAGATATAAGATGTTTAATGTCAGCAATGCTATGACTGCCAACATCATGCCCATCATACTATGTGTGTGTGAAGATATTAAATGTACTAAAATATTTTTGTATATATTTTACTCTTGTTAAAACAGTAATGTAGAATGTTTTATTTTGTGACTGGCTCTACTCAGGTGAAAGGCTCACAGTTTTATAAAAATAATAATCCTTGCATTTGATATAGCACTTTTCATAACTTCTAGATGTCTCAAAACGCTTCACAGAATATACTGTAAAATGAATTGACTATATATTTTGTGGGCGCAAGGCGGCAGCCAATTGCGCGCAGCAGTGTCCCACAACAGTAGTGGATTGAAGTGACCAATTTATTATACTTTTTTTTCTTGAGGGATTATTATTAGGCGTATGGAGTAAGCAAACTTGCCCAAGGTTTCTCCCTGCTGGGAATCAAATCTAGGTCTCTCACTTGCGAGGCGAGTGCTCTAACCACTGAGCTGCAGGACTCCATATGTATACACTATATGTAAACAGTGCATGTTTTTAATACTGATGCTTCCCCTGTTTATCCCTGTAACATGTTAAGTTACGCTCTTATATTTATGCACACTGCAAACTCTTCAAGTGATCATAATTAGATTTTTGGTTAACTGGAATCACTTTTCTGTGTTACTTGAAAATTGTATCAGATTAAAAATTAAACCAGTGGGAACTTTGTGTTTGTACTAGGATAGAAATGTTTTGCACTTGGCTCTAGCATGAAAGACACACATAAATTAATCCATGAGCTTCAAAATGTTTTTTTTAAAAAAAGGACTTGTTTGTTGTCACTTGTACTTGAATGTACCAATAGTTTCTGAATGTTTTTATAACAGCTATTTTGCATTTTTTTGATGCAAGTTGGTGCATTTTGCAGTAATACCACAGGCTCCATATAATCTTTTCTGTAGCAGGCTGCATATTTTTGTGAGTTTACTGCTTATAATAAATTAAGATGAATGGCAACTATGTGGAGAATGTAGGAAACATCAAGGAGTGAAAATAGTTAGATAAATGGCCGATACGGTTTAATGTGAAATAGAAGTACAATGTTTTGAGAGGGTATTCCCTAAGGGACAGAGCAATCTCGTTAAGGATTTTCAAAGGTAAAAAGTTGCATCAGATTTCTCGTAATATAGACCAGTATATTTCTGCAAGATGTTGGTTAGGTGATCAGTGAGTACTTGTATGCATTTCTGGATGAACTTTTAGAAAACAAAGCAAAGATGTGGTAAAGATAATGTACTCGAACTTGCATTTTTATCATGCTTTTTTAGATCAGAATGTCTTAAGTGCTTCAAGTAATTACTGTGGAATTACTATTTTTGTTGGCAAACACGGCAGCTATTTGCACCTGTAGGACCCCACAAAGAGACATGAGGTAAATAAACAATTAATCTGAAGAATTGTTAGCTTTAACAGTGTGAGAAGCTCCTTTTTCTTTTTGAATTGTGGCATGGAATCAGAGTAATGAGACTGAATTAATTCCTTGATTGAAAGGTGGCATTTCTGACAATGGAGCATATATCGCAAGTACGTAGTGTCAAATCCTGATACGAATCCTGGGTGGAATCACTATGTATTTCTTGTTACTGATATTTCCTGCTCTTGGCTGCTCATGACAATTCTGGGAGTTTCTTTGGAAGTACTTTTTGGAATAGCTTCTCCCAGCACCCTGGCCAAGAATCCCCAACTAAGATTAGTTACTCACTTCATGGCTCTTTGTGGAACATTGCTGGGTACAAATTAGCTGGTGTTTCTCCATACAAAATATACAGTATCTATACTTTACAGTGTTAAGTGTTTTGAGATGCACTCTTGATATGAAAGGCACTATATAAATTATTTATCGTTATCATTGATGACCCCTCTAAGATGAGAGTAGGTCCTTGTTGTTAATAATTATTATTGCAAAGGGGATATTTTAAATTGTAGACTTCAATGGTGGTGAGTTAACAGTAAAGTAACTATGAATATTTAAAACTTCATTTGCCTCTTAGGTGTTTTTTTCTTAATTGTGGGACTATTATTTTGTAGCTGTGACCTCACAATAGTGTTGCAGGTCATAAATGATTGGGAATATTTGCCATAAAAAAATTAAGTTCACCTATTTGGTCCAATCATCTCTAATGTTCGCATACATTTTGATCACCAGAGGTTTGGATAAAGACCCTTTAGCTCATTTGATCTCATCCTTCTGGAATATGTTTGCAGGATCCAGCTGGTTCTTGAATGAGTCCAGAAACATGGTCTCAACAATCCCTCCTATTAACTTTTTCCAGGCATTAATTGTGCTCTATGTACAGAAATACTACATTGTGTCAATCCTGAAATTGCTCTTCACCACTTGTATCTTGTCCTGATGCCTTGTTATCCCAATGATCAGCTTTATTTTCTCAATCTCACTTTGTATCTTGTATATCTGAGTGCCCACTGAAATGGATATTTTCAATTATGAAGTGGCCTAGCTTATTTAATTGTACTTCATAGCTCATCCATGAAAATGTTGCATCGGCAAGAACTGTATCTAGCATTTCACCTGCAGGCTAACAAGAGGGCAGATATAACAATGTGGGTAATGGATCTGTGTGTGTGTGTGTGTGTTGGTGTGTCACTTTCAATAGGTGGCTCTGCCTCGTGCACTTATGCTCTGCGTCTCTAATATCTTCCACTTATCTGTTGATTCTTTCTCCTTTCGAATCGCGATTCTGAACTATGTTTGAAAACTTTAAATAAAAAGGTTTTCCCTGAGCTCAGCCTGATGTTCATGTGTCTGATTCTAATCTGGGAATGTGGGCTGCAATAAAGGCTCCCAACAGATCTCAGTGAAGGCCAGGACTGAATTGGTGTCAGCCTGGCTCAGTTGGTATCTCTCTCGCCTTGGGAGTCAGAAGGATTCAGCCCCATGTCGGGACTTGGGAACACTGACACTTCAACGTTTGTCACATTATTGGAGGTGACGTCCTTCAGATGAAAAGTTAAATCAAAGCCTGTTCATATGGATGTTAAAGATTTTGTGTCACTATTCAAAAATAGAAGGAAGCATCTAATAGGTGCACAACAATCCCCCAAATAAGATACGCCATTCACTTCATGTTTGTTTGTAAAACATTGCTATGCGCAAAGGGTAGCCATCCCTTTTTAAACATTTTTTAAAAAACTAACAAAATACAGGCAAATCACTTTGAATTATATTCTGCAAAGTGCTTTTCACTACCTGAAAAGTGAAATAACCATTTATTGTGTATGCATAAATGTTATTTGAGAATTGTTTTACCAAATCTGAATGTGTAGATAGAAAAGTAGTGTGAATGTGGTAGTGTAATTTGTTATTGAACCATATAGTATGACTCCCAGGATCCTTCTTTCCTGTCTGTCAGGAGGGTCCAGGTAGTTGCTGACGGTAAAGGGTCAGTGACTGGACAGGTCTTGTGAATCTTTCAGTGTAGATTATAGAAATGCAGAGACATTGGAGCAAGCCTCGACTGCAGTGCATAAGATGAGAGAAAGGACTATGAATGCGAGGAAAAATAGTTTAATTGTAGAAAACGATACATTGACGGTGCAGTCCAAATACTGGATAGTGCACGTTATGTTTGAATCTATTCATTATTTCGGGTGAATTTTTATTCTTTGAACGGGTTAGAATAGTATCCAATATTTAATGCTGCTGACTGTTTCTTAATGTGTATGTTATCCTTCTTGAACTTTCCCTAGTTCGCCATCCATCTTATCCAAACCTCCGCCACCCGTAACCTGTACCAAACTCCGCACACCCATCACCGAGACCTCGCCTGCCGAAAGGATAGACTTCAAGATCCTCATGCTCACGTACATCTCCTTCATGCCACATCAACTCCGTATCTCTCTGACCTACTCATACTACATTTGCATGCCCCCCAAAGCCTCTGCACCACTACCGCCTTCATCTCTGGAACTCCCTATCTCACTCTCTGCTGCACCCTTCGTTATCTTTAAATCCCACTTTAAGACCTGCCTCTGTGACCACACTTATGTTCACCTCCCTCTTCTGCCTGGCCCAGTATTATTGCATTTTGACCCTTTTAATTTTTTTCTTTTCAGACCAACAAAGTTCAACCAAAGTAATCAAGGCAAGCAAGCCGAAGATAAAGAAACCTGGAAAGGTATGTCTTTTAAAGGATTAAATATGCATACTGAAATTGTCTTGGATAATTGGTTTTATGCAGTCTTATCAACCCCTTCTTATTGGAAACTTTTTATATGGAAGATAAATGCTAATTACAAAAGTATTCCAGTGTTTAGGTCCTACACATTATTATAATGTAGCCAACACATTATAATATTGTTCCAATATACTTGATGTCACTAGGAGTAGATTCAGCTGTTAGACCAGAGAATGACAACGAAAACAAATTTAGCACCGTTAATTTCTTACTGTTGACCCTAGATCTTGCCTATTGTAAAGCTTATAGTTCTCTGCACCATTTTGGAAAGACAAACCTGGGGAGGGGGAAAGACATTTTCTCTCCTCCCTCTCAGGCACTCTCCTCTCACGCACACTCTCAATTACTCTTTCTCACTCCCCCTCGCTCTCTCTTCCCTCTCACGCTCCACCTTCCCACTCTCAATCACTCTTCTCCCCTACCCCTTTCCACTCCCGCCCCCACCCCCCACTCCATCCTCTCCCACCCCCACCCCCCACTCCATCCTCTCCCGCCCCCCCCCCACCCATCCTCTCCCGCCCCCCCCCCACCCTCCTCTCCCGCCCCCCCCACCCGTCCTCTCCCGCCCCCCACCCGTCCTCTCCCGCCCCCCACCCGTCCTCTCCCGCCCCCCACCCGTCCTCTCCCGCCCCCACCCGTCCTCTCCCGCCCCCCACCCGTCCTCTCCCGCCCCCCACCCGTCCTCTCCCGCCCCCCACCCGTCCTCTCCCGCCCCCCACCCGTCCTCTCCCGCCCCCCCACCCGTCCTCTCCCGCCCCCCCCCCCCCCCCCCCCCCCCCCCCCCCCCCCCCACCCGTCCTCTCCCGCCCCCCCACCCGTCCTCTGCCCCCCCTCCCCCCACTCGAACTCACTATCGCTGGCTCCTTCCGTTGCCATGGGAGGATGTTCACCGGGGAGGGAGGGATAGAGTGGAAGTTGTAATGGTGGAAATGGTCGCAGGCCACATAAAATTCTCACTTGGCCGCTGGCGGCCCACGTGCTGTCTGTTGGACACATTGATTTAGACAACTGTACATTAAAGCCATCTCTGGGTAGTTGTACAGTGCTGTCGTTAATACTTTAGACAGTATGGCTGTGGTCCTGAACATGAGATTACAGACATTTCACAGGAGCCTGAAGATTCCACGATAACTGATAATTGTTGACAATGCTCCTCCCAATACCAAATAATTTGAGCTTGATCAAACGTCCTTGATCCTTGTCTTTTGGGAGATCTTGCCTCCTGTGCAGGTCAAGTGCCCTCAGAGCATAATACAAGGAAAAGCAGTATGCTGGTTCCCATTTGTATTTCACGCCAACAAGCTGGGTAGCCCATTATCTGCTATTCAAAAATAGTCATTACACTTTACAGTGAATTCTGTGAAATACTTTTGAGACATTGTCTTGTTATGAAAGTCACCGTATCAAATGCAAGGATTATTACTTTTCTAGTTAGTAAACTTTGTTAATCTGATTAAATATTCTAATGTTACATGTACTGAATCTTATTTTGAACAGTCTAATTTTTCATCCTCCCTCCCCCATTGCAGGCAAGTGACTTCAGTGACATTACAAATTGGCCCACACCAGGGGAAATCGCTTATAAAGAGGTATGTTAATGTTCACTGTGACATTTAGAGGCTACATTTTTTCAGTTTGAGCTGAAACATGAGAGTATTCAATACTTGTGCGAATGAATTGTTTAACCATAGTGGCCATTACAGCAAAGCCTAATTTTGTACCTCTGCAGATTTGAAATTCACACATCATGATCTCTTGACAGCGATCAGAACCCTGAAGGATATTCCCCTTCCCCCAACTGTTACATAGAATAAAATCTAAATTTACAACCTGGCCCAGTGCTGCAGTGAAGGCAGTGCTTTTACCCATTCTGCCACCTGGGGTTGGTTAACCTATTTTTCTTCCAGGTGCTATTTGTTCTAACAAATAGGACATTGCTGTGATGAAATGAGGTAATTTGCTCCAGAAATTTTAGTTTACTTTTTAGTTCCAGTTGTCTTTAGTAAAAGTTTAAAAATCTTCCCCCTGAATTTAAAGGTCTTCTGAGCTTCGATTCAGGATTAATTTGAATACTTTAGCTTTCAAGTCTTTGCTTATCATCTTGGCCTCATTTTCTTCTGTCCCCTCCTCCCCCACCAAATCTCCTGCCCTCCTTTTTCAGCAACTTTTCATCACACAACTTTTCATCACACTGATCTTGAATGATGCTCACTGCTATTTTCCAGTTTGAAAACTACAGCCATTAATCCTTCTCAACCATCAACTTACTGTTTCATGTACCCTATTCTGCGATTTTGAGTACTGTTTGAATACTTTTACGTGTACTACACCCTTTTTTATTTAAACACTTAAGTATTTTTAATAAAACAGTCCAAAAAATAATCGATGTTTTAGGACCATGCATTTTATAAACAGGAGAACTAATGGAAATATGGTGCGGTTGAGAGTGGAACTGAATTTCGAATCTGCAAAGCTATGACACACTTTGAACTCATCAGTTTACTTGTTTTGAATATTATTTTAACCATTATCAGAGATTAATATCCAGTTTAGCCCAAGCTTTTATTTTAAATAAAGCTTTCCTCAAATTATGCAAAATGATTTTATAATAAATTTATAATAAATGTAAATTTATTAATAATATATAATCAATTTTATAATGCATTTTATGTATAGCTTTGTCAGCTACTAAATTGACAATGATGCAAACACTGTAAACTGTTCGAGATAGGTGCACCTGTTAATTTGACTGATTTAAGAAATTCTACTGTTTTAAAACATGTACTTCTGACTGTTTCATCTCTATTAATGACTCTTAGCATAACAACATTATGAATCAACAAAACAAAAAGCCTCTAAATAAAAATAAGAAAAAAGACCGACCCGAAAAGAGAGATAACAGTGAAAGTAAAGAGAACCGTGAAACGCAGGACGATGAAGAGGATGATGAAAAGTCAGGGATCGATGATGATTCCCAGGGATCTTCGCAGAAAGGAAAAAAGGGTAAGTTTTAGCATGTCTAGGTTATGAATAAACTTGCTAATCTAAATCTTCAGCGCACTTTCCCTGCTTTAAGAGAACATTGTAGTTTGAACTCTTGGTCCCTGATTTTGTATCTTTCAGACACTGCTATGGACTTTCAAAAGAACATTTTATATCTTAATACAGGGAATCTCTGACACAGTACCCTGTAGTGTAGGTTTACTGTGGACAGGAAGCACACAGGTCCTGGGATATTGGACCTAGCCAGCCGTCTTATCATAAGATTTCCCTTTGTCAAGTGCATAATGCATTATTAATATTGCGAATCTATGCAATATTTGGCGAATAAAATTAAATGTTTTTTAAGGTTAACCATATTTACTCTATGAAAAACAGGCTCCTCATTTTGAATCGCTTAACAATTTAGGCATTCGTTAAATGCAGAATAAAATGGGATAAAATGCAGGAAAGTCTTAAGCGAGAAGTGTTTATTCTTCATCAAAGTTAGTGGTTTCTCTTAAATTCATTCTCGCAAGAAAGGCCATTGTCAAAAACCTGTTTACTTGTTTTCAGCTTATAGATTTTTTTTCTGCCATGTAAAGCGTTTTTTCCTTCAGACATAAGAAATTCAGTCATACATTGTTTGCCACAAGGAGGCCATTTGTCCCATCATTTTTATACTGGTGCTTTCTTACCACCAATGATATTATCTTGCATGTCAATGATCTTGGTCTCTACATGAGAGAATAGAACCTGCCATGGGGGAAGTTGAAAGAAGCATAAGGTTGATTTATTACACCATGTTAAAACAGTGTGGGGCTGTAATAATCAAGTGACACAGGATACTGGGCTAGATTGCCATATCAGTTGAATTTAGATAACAGGAAGTCATGTTCAAGCTGCAGGGTGCTCTGGTCAGCCTAAACTTAGGTTTAATGAGCTATCCCATTACTGTTTTCTTTACTGTATTTCTGAATTTGCCACAATGTTGGGGAGTTACCAAGGCAGTTCAAAGGAGAACAGTGAGGATGATTCCTTGTGTTAGACTCTTAACAAAATGAACCACCTTGAGGGATGAGTAATATAATAATCCTTGCATTTAATATTTGATATTATCACGTCTTCTCGACGTCTCAAAGCGCTACATAGAATAGACTGTAAACTGAATTGACTGTATATTTGTGGGTGAAACGCGGCAGTCAATTGCGCACAGCAGTGTCCCACAAACAGTCGTAGATTGAAAATGACCAATTTATTTTGTTTTGGAGGGATTATTATTAGGCGTGTGGAGTAAGGAAACTTGTCCAAGGTTTTGCCCTGTCTGGAATTGAACCCAGGTGTCTTGCTTGCAAGGCGAATACTCTTAACCACTGAGCTGCAGGACTCCTCTCTATGAGAAAAACTGGATAAGATAGGGCTCTTCAGCCCTGAAGAGATCTTGCTTATGAAAGCCTTTAAATATTCTGATCCTAAGCAATTAATGTATTCATTGTCCCTGAAAAAAAATGAGGGAAATTTGCACTTTTTTTTGAAACTAGGGTAAAGGTAGAGACTTGGAAGTATTTCTTATTGAAGAACCATTGATCTAATTTTGTCTTTTAGCTTCTGAAAAACATTTTGGTCTAGTATTTGTATTTTTATTTGACTTTAGATTATAACATGTACAACAACAACTTGCATTTATATAGTGCCCTTCACATGGGGCAGCATCTCAGAACGCTTAAATTAGATTAAACTCCACAAGAAAAAATGCTGTTATAATGCGTTGGATCAAATATTTATCCAAGAGACAGATTTGCAATAAAGCATACAAACTCTTGTGTTGTTCTCATCCATTAGTTTTATTTATTCAATTAGGGTGAATCCCTGCCCTCCACCCCTTGTGGTCTGAATCCGCAGCTCGGGTCCAAATCCCTGACTGTCCATCACCGTGGGACGTCCTCTCAACGTGAAAGGAGCCATACAAATGTAATTTGTTGTTACTGTCTTTCACTTGAGACAAAGTAGGAACTTGAAAAACAACATAAACAAGATTTTGTTAACTGATTCTTGTTTAAAGTTACTTAATCCAGAAATTGTTGTGACATATTACAGTAGTTTATATATTCCTGGAATTTGATGTAGCATCTTTCATGATATGAGGATGTCTTGAAGCACTTCACAGAATTTGCTGTGAAGTGGAGTGTTTGTATATTTGTGGGGAAACGCACAGGCCTAATTGCACACATCGATGTCCCACAAACAGCCATAAATTGATTGTTAGCCAGGACTTTGGGAGAAACTCCATTTACTTTTTTGAGTAGAGCCAGGGATATTTTGCATCCACCTGAAAAGCAGCCAGGACATTAGTTTAACATTTTAAATGAAGCTTGGCACTTCCAACGATGATACACACCCCTAGCACTGCACTGGAGTGTCAGCCTAAACTATGTGAGTTCACTTCCTGGCGTGGGCCTTGACCCACAACTTTCTAACTAAGGGCAAGAACAGTACCAACTGTTTTCCTTCCCAACTTCTCAGTTCACATCCTCCACTTAGCCAACATTGTTTGGCTTTGCCCCTTCCATATCACTGTCGGTGGCAAAGCCCTGAGCTACTACACATCTAAACTCTGGAACCAGAGTAAACCCTCATTCTACCTCGCACCCTTTGTCTTTAAATCCTGCCTTAAAACCCGCCTCTTCAACCCTGCCTATTGTTGCCTCCTTTTTCTTTTACTCAACCTTCAACCTAGTCATTGTAAATTGCTCTGAGACATCCAACATGAAAGGTGCTATGTAAATGAAAGTTGCTAGTATTTCCAGTTTAACCAATCCGTGGTCTCCATATAGATTAAAACAGTTAATGGAAATTGATGAGGCCTAATCCTAGATCCAATGTATTCTCCTCATTTACCCTGTCATAAATGCTTCCTAGCTGGGAATCCCATATTATGGTAAGAAACTTAGACAAAACTTGGACACAATTGGACAAAAGCAAAGTCCATTTTAGATTCTCAAACCTTTTGAGCAGCATGATTTGATTTTTGCCATTTTTAAATCTTAATACATGGTAGATTGATGTGGATCCCTTTGACCTATCTTGGCTCCTTCCCCAGATGTTCATAGCTACTACTGATTTTGGACAGCGGTGAGTGCTTCTGTCTGTAATTAGCTGATTGGGCTCAGAAGACCTTTGCGTTGAATAGATGTTCCAGCTACATTTCTGTTTGTCCTTTGTGTTCCAAAATGTGATTTTATTCTTTTCACCAGAAATCTTAATGGGACTTATGCATATTTTGGTCTCTTTTGCACATTCCTGGGAAATGTTGGTACCAAAGTTGACTGACATACAAAAAGTGGGGGGTCTCACAGAGATCACTCCTGATCTCTGTGCCAAGTTGTAGTTCTGGTCAGAATTTGGTATCTGAACTACAGGGTGGCACCCTGCTCAACTTTTTGGCAGGGTGAGCAACACAGATGCAACTATTGTTTGTCAAAAGTGGAAGATCCACTCTCCATATTTCAAGACATGGATAACATTTTTATTTTATTTATTTTCTTCATTACACAATCGCCAAACTTCTCATCCTTCAGGCTAGACAGATTTTTTTTGTATGGAAACTGTTGTTTCTCAGGATTTCCCCTTTGTTTCTATATTTCTCGGGGCCAATGAGAAACAGAAAACTGATTCTGGTTATCTCACATTGGCTTACAAACAAATACATCTCTGAGATCTTGGAGTTTTTGTTGGTCAGATATTAACTGTCGTAGGAAGTACCTCAAATCTCAGATTCTGGAACAGATATTTTTTCAAAAGCCAGCCCATTTTAACTACTTAGCTGTTGGCATTGGGTACAGCTTGTTGAGTCTGGACATTTTGAGCGTTGAACAGTGTTACCTTTTATGGTGTGCATGCAGTCATCGGGATCTGTCTTGACCCATCTCAAGTTTCTCCAAAAGTACAGTCCTGTTTTCATTATGTCCTTTTACAGTCAGTTGCACAGATACTGCCATTTCATTGTAGTTTTGTTGAATTACGTTTAATCCACTAAAACTTTCAAATATAACAGAATTATTTGTGACTTACTGTCTAAAGTGCTGCCATGTTACAACAACAACTACTTACATTTATGGCACCCTTCACTCGGGATAGCATCCATGGAAACAAACAGTCAATTAGTAGATGATTAGAATGCATTTTGCATGTTCACTTTTGCTAGGCACAAGGCCATGTTGCACTTCTCCTTTTTGGGCATCTCTAAGCCAAGTCTATGGAGTACTCCCATCCATTGTCAAAGCACTATTGTTTGAACCAAATGGGTTGAAGTTATGAGAGTAAACTAATGAATTTTGCTCGTCTGAGCAAAGTATCCACTGCAATTCGTGGCAGAAGAAGAGGCAAGGCTGAGGCCTTTTCCTTTCTGACATTCTGCTATCCCTTCTCAATTCAATACAATCCTCCTTCATTCCAACAGGGAGATCATTTGGACACTCTGCCCAAGTAGCATCAACAAAGTATTTGTAAAGTTTCCAGAGCCACATTCTGCTGGTTGCCAAAGGTTATTCACCAGCTGGAGGTAAAAGCAGTGAGACCATTTCAAAAAAGAGAAGGTAGTTTCTCTTAGTGTCCTGGTCAATAATCCTCAAGATTGCTGCCATCAGCCTAGTAGGGTCTTCATTCTTGGAGTGCCTAGCCATACCAGACTCCTGGACACAGCAGGATGTTGTGAAGCAATCAAGTCAATTTGGATCTACTTTGCACAAACATCAGCAAGTATGCTTGATAAGCCATACACATTTGGAGAGACTCCTGGATTGTATCCTCTTTAATTATGTGTCTAGGTGTGTAGGCTCCTCTTCCAGTCAAAGGATATGCTGTGTAAGTGGAATCAAACAAGTCAGGCAGGAAGGAAAAGCTAAGCAAGCAGATATTTGTGGGGAGGGAGGAAAAGAATATCTACAAAAAGGAATTGGGGAAGGGTTGGGGGAGAGAAGAAAGGGGAAAAGAGAAACAAAATCCCAGGTATAAGGACTTGTTTGCCAAAAGCAACATATTCTGAACCCATTAGGTTCAAACAATGGTGCTTTGAAAATGGATGGGAGTTCTCTCATCTATTTGATAGTTTTATTCAGTGGTTAATCTTATTCAGTGATCACCCAATTATTCAGTTACATACAGTATTTTATTGCTATTCAGTTTCATGGTTTACCACTTTTTAGTATTTTTGTCTTTTAATTGGTTGGTTTGTTTTATCCTCATTGACTGACTGACTGCCAGATGCATACTAAACATCGCTAATGTCTGCCATGTGGAATATTTTCAAAAACTAAAGGTATTCTGCAACGAATGGAGCAATAAATAAAGTGTGTGCTGGTTGGAAATGTCTTTCTTGTTTTTATATGCTTTTGAGTTTGAGAATCTTGTCAAAGCAATACTATAGTTTCTTTTGGTGACGATTCATAGACTACAGTTGTTTTGGAATAAAAATGTAGGAATATAAAATGTTTATTTTACTGCGATTTAATGTGCGAATTACCCCCAAATGTGGGGGTAATTTTACCATGAATCATTTATTTTTCCAAATATTAATCTGACGCAATAACAACCCCAATGTTAATGATCAAATTGTAATTTTAATAAATTGGGTCTGGCATCCAATGAGGCATGATAAAATACTGGTCAATAGTGATTGTAGAATCACTATGTATGAGGGTTTCGGCGGCCTCACACCGCAGGCCCCCGAAACCCTCATACATGCTTTCATCACATCGAGGCTCGACTATGCAAACTCATTGCTTGTCGGCCTCCCCAAATTCTCTCCATAGGCTGCAGATCATCCAGACTCTGCAACCCGTGTCCTCTCCCACACTAGGCTCCACAGCCCTGTCACCCTCATCTTTGCCCAACTCTACTGGCTTCCCATCACACAGCGGATACCGTTCACGATCCTGTTTCTCACCTTCAAAGCCCTCCACGTTCTTTCTCCCCCCTACCTTTAAGACTTCTTAACCCCCTACCATCCTAGTCGCTCCATCTGCTAAGCAGGCTCCCACCTGCTTCACCTCCCCCGACTCGCTCGCCCCACTATTGGTGGGCGGGCCTTCTGCCACTCCGTCCCCAACCACTGGAACTCCATCCCGCAGTCCCTCCACCTCACCCCTCCCTTGCTACCTTCAAGACCCATCTCAAGACCCTCTTCGACCGTGCTTTCAATCTCCCTGCTTCCCCTCTTGCCCTCCACCCTCCCTGACCCCCAACTCGGGCCCGTAACTCTGTCCGTCCAGCGCCTTGAGGCGTCGTCTCGACTTGAAAGACATTTACAAATGTACTTTTGTTGTTGCTGTTATAGAATTCATCCACAGATATGGGTGAATTGAGGATTTCCTCCCAAATGGACTAAATGTTTTTAGTCAATTAATATTGTTTGTCATACACACTTTAAACTATTGCTTATTATAGCCATAGTGGGTGAATTAAATTATTTCTGTCTGGTGGCAACTAGAGAGGGATGAGGGTTTATTAAACAACGATTTTCTTTTGTATAACACCCTTCACACAGGGTAGCATGAACAATATGGTCTGTTTTGTGTCAGTGTAGTAGAGATCTTTGCAATTTATCTAATTCATGCAACAAAACAAAAACCTATTTTACTGTAATCCATTTCGGTAATAAAAATGAAATTTAATTCAGATGTGTTTTCACAATTGAAAGCAGCCTTGTTATATACTTCTGCCGAAGATCATTTACATATGATGGAGTTTATTGCTTTATTTATTATGCATCACCTATTTTATTGGTCAACTATTAGTGTGGATCTACTGTATATATTAATCTGTTTGATTCTTTTCCACGTAATCCATTTCAGACCAAATGTTAATTTAAAGTTTATAAGTTCACATTGTACAGCCAGAAAATAACTAATGTATTATTACAAAGGCTGCCAATTTCTCCTGTTGTCTTAACTGTTGATCTGACCTAGAACTATTGCTATTATGTGAGTTAAAGCTTAAATTTCAATAACTACATGAAAAGTAACGAAAATATATTTCCAGCTCATTGTGAATTTTCCTAATCTTGTGAAGAAAAGCTTTCTGTAAATTGACGTATTCTATCTCTAATCTTTTTTTAATTTCCTAGATACGCATGATGGTTCTCTAGTATAAGTTGGTCTGCTTTCTGCCTGTTCATCCACCATTTTATTTGAATAGTTCATTTTGATAATGTTCACAGGACCTGGGTCTTTAATATAACCATGTTCTCACCGGGAGCTGTAATACTAAATATAAAGCAGACTGTTTGGACATTGCGCACTTTCATAATGAGAGTAAATAGTGTTTTAAGTTGTGCTTAATTGAATTGTCTTCAAGTCTAGTCAAATTTAAATAAAAATGCACATTGATTTTAATTTTTATTGTTGCATTTAGGTACCAAACATAAATGGGTTCCATTACATCTGGAGGAAGTGAAACAAGATGGACAGGAAAGGCCCAGTTCACGTAACAATTCACGATTACAGTCAGATGTAACACGGTCATTGCAAAATAATAAAAGGAATGATTATTCAAGAAGTAAGTAGTCTGAATATTTGATTTTAAACATGAATACAGTGGAACTGCCAGGACAGGCAAAAAGGTACTTGTGTTGTAGTTTGATATTTGCCTATTTTTCAACAGCTTTTTTTTATTATTATTAAGATTAAAGCTATGCATATTTAGTTTTATTCCTATTCATATATATGTGTAGAGAATCTATTTGAAGAATAGGTACTGCCTAATGAATCACACAGCAATTTGTTTTAAAAATGCTATCTTGTTTTATATTCTATAAATGAATTTGGCAGTATTTTAAAAAAAGTTATAATTATATTCGCCACCAACGACCCTTCCTGCAAAGTGATGTTGATTACAACCTGATGGAAGTTGGCCATCTATTAACATGAGAACAGACTAATAGAGGGGCAAGTCGCAGTGAAGCTTGCTGTCATGACTTATGTGAGTTTAACTGTACATAATTATATTACCAATTACATTACTTTAAAGAGAGCGTGCATTTTTATAGAGTCATTGCTCACATGTAACAAGCAGGGTAGATTTTCTAGCTGGCCCAAAACATCACTGGAATTGATCACTAGGAATTAGTTCTGTTTTGTTTAGTAGTGAGTCATGTTGTATTTTCATGCTATAGTACTGTGTAATGATTGGAGGCAAACAAGGAAATGAAGCTCACTTTGCATTTTTGAGACTTTAGCAAAATCAGCAGTCACTTAACCGTCTCTGGTCTTAGCTGAGTCAGCTGCATCATTTGGTTTCATTGTCCCTAAACTAAGCACGACTATTTTAAAATCGAAAAGCATTCAGGCCATTGTATGTGCGTGTGTAGATTTTTCAAACAAAGCTTGCAGCAGCAAGGGCTAGTTGCTCCTTATTCAATTACTATACATTTCAGATGCACCCTTCCCTTTGTTCTACTGTCTCCCCCATCCCTCCCAAATTGTGTATGGTAGCAAATATTACTCATATGTGAAGGTTGTTCTGTATTCACTACTGATGTGAACAATTTTCCAATGACCATAGGGCTGTCATGCCTTGCTCTGGCTCAGTTGAATCGCCTGATGTACCAGTCCAGCTGTTGTTGATTTTTAGATCCCAGTGCAAACTTATATTCTCAGATGAATTTTCTTGCTGGGGAGATTCATTTGATAGTTGAGCTTTATCTCTTGGCTTCCCAAAGCTATTTTATTGTGCGTTAGAAACGGTGTAAAATACTGGTGATAAGCAAACTGGTGTTATTTTCTTTAACCAATTTCTGAACTCATTGGACTTTACCAAAATGAAACAAAAAAAAATCAGTGATGTTCTTATAATATCTTGAGATACCATATATAGTTTGGGACACAACATGTCAAGCTACTGCCAGGATGGAAGGCGAGCTAGTTGGACCTTGGTCTTCCTTCTCCGAGCAAGTTCTTATGTCTTGACTTAAACTATTGTCCATCACAGCATGATTTAAAAAAAAACATGTTCCCTTTAAGTGTGCATGTAGATCATGCTGTAAAAATGCTATTTTTTTAAAAAGGTTGGCGCAGAGATGACAAACGTGACCGAGATAGAAGAGATGATGCTGATGAAGTTGGAAGTGTTAGGAGTGAAGGTGGTGGTGTACGAGGAGGGTTTAGAGGCAGAGGAAGAGGCAGGGGTCGAGGAAGAGGACGTGGCAGAGGAAACCCCCGCAGTAAGAATTTAATATATTTTTTGTCTTTCTGTCCTGTATTCAATTTTGTTTTGTGCAATCAATCTCAGCGATGGTGGTCATTTGAGAGTTAAAATAAGTGCAACGGTAACCAGTGAGAGTACATGATTTGACACTGATATTTAAGACTTTTTTTATGCTAGTAGACCTTGCCACTTAAAAGGAGGTGTCACTAGGATTGTCTCTTATTTCAACTCACTTTTGAACTTGAGTTAATAAGTAAATTAAATCGCTCTTAAAAATACAGTATTTAAAAACTAAAGCTTGTCTGTATTTAAAAATTAGTGCTACAGGTTAGATTGAAAACCATAGTGTGGCAACCTTGTTGGTATGGCTATAATTGCATCTTATGAACTGGTATTTTGCTGGTCTCAGTCAGGGCTGGATAGGGAGTCTAAATTCACCAGTGGTTTTCCCAGAGCAAGGAAAGGGAAAACCAGCCAGGATTCCTGCTTCTGGTTCCTCAACATCACTCTCTGCTGGTCATATGGCTGTACAGCAGCTGAGTAGGAAGAGGTCAAGCTTGGTTGTAGTGCTCTCTACAGTCAAGTGTCCTACCAGCAATCGCTTCCAAGGCTCACAGTGAACAAGGGCCACCCAGCAAGGAGTGTCCACTATAACCTTATTCAATGTATTTATTCCTAATAATAATAATCCTTACATTTGGAGCTGACCTGGTTCCAAGGTGGCATGCTTGGCAATGGAATTTCAGTATCAAGTCCACACACTTAGGCAGTTTTGTTATCCAGTTGTGGGTCCGCAGCACTTCAAGACATTGGTGCTGTGAGGCCAGCCAGCCTGGTTCCTTGGCAGGACTTGAAGGAACAGAAGAGTCACTGTTAGTAGGGATTCTTTAACTTGGGTCCTGTTAATCCTGCAAGCCAAACCCCTAATGGGTAGGATGATCCTAGCTGGATAAGCAGTAGGATGCTTGCCATACAATGCTTCAGTGGCAAGCTTGGCAGTTTTAGCTGGTTAAACTCTTGAAAGAGTGTAGAACAGGGTAAGGGGTTGAAAGTACTCTTTGCTCTGCTTGTAATGCAGATTTTCTTAGGTGATAACTGGTATAAGACACTATGAAGAGAGGATAGTTACATTTAAGACCATAAGACATAGGAGCAGGAGTAGGCCATTCGGCCCCTTGAGCCTGCCCCGCCATTTAATAAGATCATAGCTGATCCTCTTAACCTAATTCCATTTACCCGCCCTGTATCCCTTAATCCCTCTTAATCTTTAGAAATCTATAATAATAATAATAATCCTTGCATTTGATATAGCGCTTTTCACGTCGGGAGGACGTCCCAAAGCGCTTCACAGAACACACTGTAAAGTGAATTGACTGTATATTTGTGGGCGAACGCGGCAGCCAATTGCACACAGCAATGTCCCACAAACAGTCGTAGATTGAAAATGACCAATTTATTATCGNTTTTTTTTGGAGGGATTATTATTAGGCTCTGTGTAGAGTAAGGAAACTTGCCCAAGGTTTCGCCCTCTGCCTGGAATTGAACTCAGGTCTCTCGCTTACAAAGTGAGTGCTCTAACCACTGAGCTACAGGACTCCAGTCAACCTCAGTCTTGAATGTGTTCAAGGACTGAGCATCCACAGCCTTCTGGGGTAGAGAATTCCACAAATTCACTATGCTCTGAGTGAAGAGATGTTTCCTCAACTCAGTTCAAAAAAGCTGACCCTTAATCCTGAGAATATCACCCCTAGTTTTAGATTCTCCAACCAGTGGAAACAGTCTCATGGCATCTACCCTGTCAAGACCCATAAGAATCTTATAGGTTTCTATAAGATCACCTCTAATTCTTCTATATTCTCCAGAATATCGGCCTAGTTTACTCAACCTTTCCTCATAGGTCAACCCCCTCATCCCAGGAACCAACCTCGTGAATCTACTCTGCACCCCTTCTAAGGCGAGTACGTCCTTTCTTAAAGAAGGAGACCAAAACTGCACACACTATTCTAGGTGCAGTCTCACCAAGGCCTTATACAACTCCAGGAAGACTTCCCTACTCTTGTACTCTAACCCTTTTGCAATGAGCCCAACATGCCATTAGCCTTCCTAGTTGCTTGCTGTACCTGCATACTAACTTTTTGTGACTGGTGTACAAGGACACCCAAATCCCTCTGAACACTAACACTACCTAGTCTCTCCCCCTCTAAAAAATAATCCGCTTTTCTATTTTTACTACCTAGGTGAATAACTTCACACTTCCCCAGTTATTACTCCCTTGTTTTAGGATTAATTAAAATGGAGTATAAGTGTAAACATTTTATACTCCACCCTTCTTAATTATCAGCGTTACGTTTGCGATCTTCCAATCAATGGAACCATTCCAGAATCCAGGGAATTTGGGAAGATCAAAAACAAAGCATCCACTAACTCTGCAGCCAACTCTTAAAACCCTAGGATGCAGAGCATCAGGTCCAGGGGATTTATCGGTTTTTAATCCTATCAATTTCTCTCGTACTGTTGCTTTACTGATGTTCATTTCTTTAAGTTCATCACTAACGTTAGCCTCCAGGTTCCCCTCTATTTTCGATAAGTTTTCAGTATCCTCTTAACATGACGACAAGCAAAATATTTGTTTAATGACTGCCATTTCTTTATTCCCATTATAATTTCTCCTGTCTCTGCCTGCAATGGACCCACATTTTGATAGTCTCTTCCTCTTTATGTACTTATAAAAACTCTTACAATCTGTTTTTATGTTCCTAGCTATTTTACCCTCATATTCCATTTTCTCACTCTTAATCAGTTTCTTGGTTTTGGGCCTTTTACCCATTGAAATACAGAAGATTGAGTGGAGATATGAGAATAATCTTAAAATATTGAAGGAGGCATGACAGACGGTAGCTGGGAATTTCCTTTGGTTGGGTAATTGGTGACTAGTGGAAATGTTAAGGGAGAGGTTAGGATTCTCTTTGTTCAGAAGGTTGTTACAATTTGCATTTCAATACCACAAATGAGGTTATTGAGGCAGGATTATGGAATCACTCAAACATTTAACTATATAAATACTGGAGGATTAAGACCTTAATGGAAATAAATGGAAAGCGAGAAAATAGAAATACTGTAAAAATATTAATAAGGGCCAATTTAGAAAAAAATGTAACAGTGGTACAATTGGCCAAAATGGCCCACTTCAGTGCATTCAGTGCAAAATGTGGTTCCAGTAAATATATTGGGCTCCTATTTTTTTAAAGAAAACTTTCTGAGCAATCAAGTTACATTGTTATTATATGGTTGCTGCAATTCTGGCAATGGATGAATGTCCAGCCAGTGTTGGTATCTGAGTAGCTAGGAAAAGGACCTTGTTTAGGGAACCACTTTTGTTTTATGTTTGGAAAATGAATAACTCAAATAACTAAACTAATTCAAATAATTAATAAACTAATTAGTTAGTTGTGTAAATGCAAGGTGTTCAAGTTGTGCTCAAATGTAACAGCTACCCATTTCAGCACAGAAATTACAACCAGGCAACCCAGACCCAGTTAGTTTAGTTAACTTGCATTTCTGATCAATAGTTTTGGATAAACTATTACAATATGGCTTCCAACAATAAATTTTATAAACAAATTATATTATATTTGACTATTTTATTTTAGTGAATTATGATTATTCATACGGATACAAGCATTCATACGATTCCTCTGATCCGTACATAGCCGAGTACAACAGTAACATGATGTACTATTATGATGATGGAAGTGGAGCGCAGATGTACACAGTGGATGAAACCCTGCTGAAGGAGTACATAAAGCGACAAATGTAAGTGAGCTTTTTTGTGCCCCTATATATTATAACAAATTATCTTGCGCATAGGAATTGCTGGGAAGTGTTTAACGCCAACTGNTTTTTTTAATTTAGAGAATATTACTTCAGCACAGAAAACCTAGAAAGAGATTTTTTTCTGAGACGAAAGATGGATGATCAGGGTTTTCTGCCTATATCCCTGATTGCCAGTTTTCACAGAGTGCAGGCTCTAACCACAGATGTAAATCTAATATTTGAGGTAATTATATTTTTACATTTATTTTCATTTGAGATGTAGAAAAACTTAAGCTAAATTTCATTGCATCTATAAATAAATAATTTAATGGTTATATTTTTGTTTTATCTAGTGAATACATGTGTGTAGCTTTAATCTTTAGAATTATTCTGAGTAAAATTTTATGTTCTTGCCATAATTGAGGATTCTCTGTATTGAATTATATGGCTTTAGTTTAAAAATATAATATGAAAGTCAAATTTCATTTGAGAAACATAGAAACCTAGAAATCTACAGTGCAGAAGGAGCCCATCAAGCCTACAGCGACCGGCTCACAAGTCAAGGATATCACTTCAATCTCACCACCCCACCCTATCCCCATATCCTTTTAAGCCCTTCTCTTTCATAAGCCTATCTGTCTGCTTCCCTCTTAAAAGCTGTACCACTTGACACTCTCTGGGTGAAAACTTTGTTCCAAAGTTCTCATTTCGCTCTTCTTGTTCTTAAAACTATGTCCCCTAGTTACGTACTCCCCTATCAATAGAACTTTAACACCAGAATTTTTTTAAAATAAGAGAATATTACTTCAAAACAGAAAATCTTGAAAGGGACTTTTTTCCAAGATGAAAGATGGATGAACAGGGTTTTTTGTCTATCGCTGATTGTTGGTTTCCACAGACTGACATTCAGCTGAGGAGCAAATTTCTTTATAATTCTCTATATGCTGTCCTCCGCTCAGCATGCTCCGCCCTGGTCCACATTCCCTGTCTGGGCTCGGCCCACCATCGGCGGTCGGGCCTTCAGCTTCTCTTTCCCCACCCTTTGGATATCCATCCCACAGTCCCTTTGTTTTGTTCCCTCCCTTGCTTCCTTTAAAACACATCTCAAGACCTTCCTCTTCAACTGCGCATTCGGCCACCCTCCTACCCCAGACCCCAAACCCCTGCTGGGTTCAAAATCTCTGACTGCCTTAGGATGTTCTCCTGACTTGAAAGGCATTATATAAATGTAACTTGTTATATAATAATGATTTTTTTTAACTAACATCAAGGCTTTGAAAGGTAGTACTGAGGTACAGATTGTCGACCAGAAAATGAGGAAAAAAGAAAGTCCTGAAAAATGGCCAATTCCAGGCCCACCTGTTTCTGATGCTCCAAGAACTGATTTTGCTCGTTTAATCAACTGCCCAGAATTTGTACCTGGACAGGTTTATGGATCACAAACTGGTAAATACAATTTAATTTTTGTAGAAAAATATTGTATGATAAATTACATGGGATATGAGTATTACAAAGGGAAACATTCAGCCTCAGTACAAACAGATAAAGGTGCTTTCAATAGTCCCAAGTTCGAGCTCCTACATTGGAATGCAGCTTCAATTTGCAGCCATAATTCCTCATTACACCGCAAGATTGCTGATGCTCAGACAATATGATGTGGTTCACCTTAGGGTAAACTGATGTACGCTTGCTATAGTCTAAGCAAGGAGAGGCAGTGGCCTTGGAAATTGCCTACCCTAACATCTGAAAGGGAACACATGGAGACAAGTGACCATGGTGACAAAGGCAAATAAAGAAAATAAAGTTAAAATTTGAACATTCTTTCGGTTCTGTTAAGTTTGGTTAACAGATATTCTAGTACTTTGATCTTTGTATTCAACATCACAATCCTTACAAAAGATCAGTGTCAAGCTTGACAGGTTCATATTTTCTAAACTATATCCTCCCCACTAAACTTTACCTCCACTGGTTTGTGCTTTATTCAGCTGGGAGAATACAATGGTCTGAACACCAAACTTCTCAGTTGACATAGTGGCCAAAAGTGAGACTCGTCACTGCACACAAAGGGCTGGTACTGGTGAAAATACCTCATTGAAAGTACAATAGGATTGTCATTTGTTTTACAGCTCATTCCAGTGATGAAAATATTTCTCGCTGTTCTCTTTTCAGCTTTTACTGAATAAGACTAAAATATCTTACCTATATGTAGTATGTTACTTTGTTTCTAATATTTTATAAATGTTTAAACTTATTACTCCCTTGTTTTAGGATTAATACTACTTCAGATGTATTTGAAAGTGCCACCTGATCATTTGTTTTTGCTACTTATGCTTTATGCATGCGTTTTGAATGTAGTTAAACGTTTATTGTGCTGCTAAGATCTGTAGGGTGTTTAAAGGGTGCGTCAGCTTTAAACACCTATAACGAGAAGTCACTTTTTTTGTCATATGACACCTTATTTAACTTTTTTTGTATTTTATATTTCAATTTGATTCCTTTTTTATATTCTATAGTAGGCTGGTACATTGTGGTTTCAGACTGCACTGTGCATTTTTGCTGTGACATCAACTCCAGTGGTTTGGAGAACTAAGACCACTTTTTCTTAACTGACATCCTTTGTAACACTAGCCAGCAGTAATATGTCATTTATTAAGAAATTTGTCTTGCCAGTAAAACAGGTATCATTAGATTAGAAAACAAATGTTTACAGTAATACCAGTGTTTTCTTAGTTCGTCTCCAATGTTTTACCTGCATTTCCAGTGATATGTTTTCCTTTTAAGGATTAATTTCTTGAAACTCAAGCTGCTTTAGATGAACAGCCTGTGTTGTGAAATCATTTACTGATTTATGTCTGATACCAGGCCTAATGATACATAAATAGTTTTAGCTTTAACCACTGAATGGCAGTTGTTAAAGTGCCTTATAGATAAAACAGTTCATACAATATTTGCTCATATTTGTTCAGTCCATGCATATCAAATGCACAAATTAACAAATCCATGTTGAATTTAGAATAGGCTGCCCTCTTTTTTAAAAAAAAATATGTTTAGAAGCAAATGAGAAAGTACTTTTATATGTAAATGAGATACCTAATTTTGGTTGTCACCATTTTCTTCTCATCTACACACAGATGTGGACCATTAACCAGATTGTTATAAACTGAAGAATTAGTGCGCCTTGAGCATCTGTGAAATTACCATATTGGCATCAATTTAAAGGTTAATGGGTAAAAGTTAATCAACACCAGTGATACTGAGCAGCCTATTTTAGTAATATTTGTAGTAATATTTGATACATTTTAAAAAATGCTTGATATTGGGAAGTCCAATTGGGTATGTATGTAACTTTTTACAACAACAAGATTCTATTTATAGAGCGCCTTTCACGTCGGGAGGACGTCCCAAGACGCTGTACAGTTGGGTCCGAACCCGAGCAAGGGGGAAATGGTCAGGGTGAGGGGAGGGAAGGGAGGGAGCGAGGAGGGGGTAGAGAGTCGAGAGGGGAGCTGAAGGCTCGGTCAAAGAGAAAGGTCTTGAGACCGGCCTTGAAAGAGGAAAGGGAGGAGGCGGCGAAGGCACTGGGGGATAGAGTTCCAGAGCCTAAGGGCTGAGAGGCTGAAGGCCCGACCACCGATGGTAGGGCGGTTGGGGCGGGGGATGTGGAGCAGACCAGAGCCAGAGGGTACGGACAGGGAGGTAGGGGGATAGTAGGTCGGAGAGATAGGAGGGAGCCAGGGCGTGAAGGTGTAGGTGAGGACGAGGATCTTGAATTCGATCCTCTGGGGGATGGGGAGCCAGTGGAGGCGAGCGAGGGTGGGAGTGATGTGGTCGCGAAGCCTGGTGCGGAACAGTACACGAGCTGTAGAGTTCTGAATGACCTGCAGCTTGTGGAGGGAGGTGCCGGGAAGGCCGGTGATGAGAGAGTTCCCATAGTCCAGCCTTGAGGTGATAAAGGCGTGGACCAGAGTTTCAGCAGCGTGAGGGGTGAGGTAGTGCCGTAGTCTAGCGACATTTCGGAGGTGATGGAAGGCAGTGCCAGTTGTGGTGCGGATATGAGAGAGAAAGGACAGCTCAGGGTCGAACAGAACACCGAGGTTCCTGACTGGCTTTGAGAGGTGGAGAGTGCAGCCTTGGATGCTGATGGTGTCAGCGCCTGAGGTGCGGAGGCGCTGACGTGAGCCAATCAGGAGGACCTCAATTTTACGCACGTTGAGCTGAAGAAAGTTGTCTCTCGTCCAGGACTCGACGTCGGACAGGCAGGCTGTCAGGACATCGGTAGTCGTGGAGTTGAGGGTAGAGGAGGAAAGGTAGAGTTGGGTGTCATCTGCATGTGGAAGTTAACCCCATGTCTGTGGATAATGACACCAAGGGGGAGCATATAGAGGGTGAAGAGGAGGGGACTGAGGACAGAGCCCTGAGAACACCGCACGAGACAGTGCGGGGGCTGGAGGAAAAGCCGTTTGTGGAAACAAAATGAAGATGGTGGGAGAGGTACGACCTAAACCACTCAAGGACAGGGCCTTGAGGGTTGAGGTGGGAGGACAAGCGGTGGAGGAGGATAGCGTGGTCGACCATATCGAATGCTGCCAAGAGGTCGAGGAGGCAGAGGGAGCCCTGGTCGCAGATGGTCAGGATGTCATTGGTGACCTTGACCAGGGCGGTTTCTGTGCTATGGGCAGCAATGAAACCCGACTGATGGAGTTTGAATAATGCATGGGTGGAGAGGAAAGAGCGCAGCTGGGAGGCGACAACTCTTTCAAGGACTTTGGACAGGAAGGGGAGGTTGGAGATGGGCAGGTAGCTTGATAGCTGCGACGCATCAAGGGAGGGTTTTTTCAAAGTGGGAGTGATGATGGCAGTTTTTAGGGGAATGGGAACAGAGCCAGAGGAGAGGGACAGGTTAATGGTGTCTGTGAGAAGTGGGGCAAGGAGGTGGAGCTGAGAGATGAGGAGTGGAGTGGGATGGTGTCAAGGGAGCAGGTGGTGGGTTTCAGGGACAGGATGAGTTTGGTGACAGAGGGTGGGGAAACGGGTTCGAAGGTGTGTAGGGGAGGAAAAGGAAGAAAACACCATTGTGGAGAGAGCTCTCTTATCTGCAGTAGATTAATGGGAGGTGCCCTTGTGGAGTAATGTATGTATCTTAATGCAGAATGTGTCATTCCAAATGGTTGTGATCTGATTGTGGATTGAATTCCCCTGTGCCAAATAAGCAAGGGTTAAAAAACACAAGTTTCACAGTTAGACTTGGCTGTACCTAGCACATGCATTATAATTCTGAAAAAAATTGCTTTTCAAGAAGAGGAAACAAATTGCATTGAGGTGGCTCTACATGTGTATGAGCATGTGTCTTACATTATTGTCGCTTGTAACTTTCAGAATCTGCACCTAGTTCCCCCAGAATGGGAAGTCCTGGTGATGCAAAGAACAATGCTGAAATCAGTAACCTTCAGACGATGTCTAAAGGGTTGTCGACAAGTTTGCCTGATCTAGACTCTGATTCTTGGATCGAGGTCAAAAAGAGACACCGTCCATCACCATTAAAATCAAAGGTATACTTGGGTTTTATCCTCTGATAACCTTCCTTCAATGTGTTATTAACTGAAGTCAAAGCCATCAGGATGATTTTTTTTACAAAAATGTTATACATAGTACTGATCTCACAAGATGTTTCTGGAGTAATAAATAGCCCAAACTGAATTGTAAACTGATTTCTTAAAAGGGAAGTAGTGGATAAGGCTATCCTTAGGGCAATTCAATTTGAAGTATAATAATTCTTCAGGTTTATCAAAATCAAAAGTGTTTTTATGAATTGTTACTGGAATTATTCTTTGCAGTGAATTTCCTTTCCAGCACATGTATTTTGCATCAGATGTGTGGGATGTCTTTTGCCTCTCAATTTTAGCATCAGACACTTAAGTGCAATGATGCCCCTTTATAAACATGGTACTTGGGGTCCATAAATCCTAATCAGTTTTATAGCTAATTGCCTTCATTTTGCCAGAACAGAGGATGTGGGTGTATGTGTTCAGCCATCAAATCGGTAAGCAGGCTTTTAACTGATCACTAATCAATCAATAAATAAACGAGGGTGATTCATACCATTGTGTGGATTCCACACACGTCTTTCCCGTTGTCTAGGGGACCCATTTCTTGAATCGGGTGCTTTGCAATCCCCTTGCTCTGTGAACCAGTGCAGACTCAATAGGCCAAATAGCTGCCCCCTGCCTTGTAGATTTCTATGTGTTTATTTTGTCTTTCTGCGCACCGACTGTGGTTTTGAAGTACTGATGGAGCCAATATGCACATTGTAGAAGTTATTTTGGGTAACTAGATGGTAAGATGTACACTTTTTTTTGTCAACCAGATGTCTGACACATGTTGAAACCTAACAACAACTTACGTTTTTATAGCGCCCTTCAAGTGGGGTGGAGTCCCAAAGCACTTGACAGGGGCGGAGTCTGACAATGAGCTAGGGGGAGAGGGAGTGGAACAGTGGCCGTAAGCACACTCAAAAAGAAAATCTTTCAGCAGGATTTGAAAGTGGGGAGGGAGGGGCAAGGCGGAGGGATTGAGGGGAAAAGTTCCAGAGTCTCAGGGCATAGTGGCTGAAAGTGAGGTCACTGATGGTGGAGGGGATGAGGGACGATTAGGAGGCTGGAGGCAGCGGGTGGGGGAGCGGGTGGTAAGCAAATCGGATAGGTAGGGAGATGCGAGAGCATGAAGGGATTTAGAAACGAGTGAGAAGATCTTGAAATCAATCCGTTCAGTAATTGGAAGCCAGTGGAGCCTGGCAAGGACTGGTGTGATGTGCGTACATAGTTTTGTGTGAGAATCTGGGCTGCAGAGTTCTGAATTTGTTGTATTTTGTGTACGGTAGAGTTGGGGAGACCAGTGAGGAGGGCATTGGAATAGTCCAGCCGAAAAATTGTGAAAGCGTGGATGAGGGTTTTGGCTGCTTTTGTTAGTAGGTACGGGCGGAAGTGAACAATGTGACGAAGGTGGAAAAAAGCGGTTCTTGTCAGAGAATGCATGTGGGGTAGAAAGGAAAGCTGGGGATCTAACCTAATGCCTAAGTTGCACATGGGTTCAGTGAGTCTGAAGGAGAGCCAGGGGAGGTTGAGGAGTTCATACCGCAGGAGAAAGACGTTGACATGGTGGTGAAGGAGGCATGGGGGGATGGCGGTGGAGGAGGCATCCAGATGGATGTTGTCTATTTTGAAAATGAAGAAGTCTAGGACCTTTTTGCACTTGCCATCTGAAGTGATGCCAAGTGCTAAAGAGTATCCAAACAAAACTTAAGCATTCCGCCTATACGTGTAAATTCCTGTGCATTTGAATGGGTCACATCCTACTTGCATGTTTCCAGAGAGTGTTTGTCACAGACTAGCAAGAGAGCCAAGGTTTCGGGACCCCATAGTGTGAAGTTGGGGTACAGCTTGATTTTAACCAGCTAAAACCAGGCAGCTTGTCTTGTCTGACAACCTTCTAGCTTCTTGTCCAGCTAGGATCACCTTATGATTTAGGGCTTTGGTTTGCAGGATTAATAAAACTTGGAATTATGTAGCGCCCTTCACACTGGTAGCATCTTGGAGTTGGTCTCCTTATAATAGGTGCTGAAAGGGAAGAATCCCTGCCACCTATGACTGATCTGCCCTCCCAAGTCCTACCGATAAAACAGGCTGGATTGTCTGCAGCTCCAATAAGACCCTGCTTACCTTCTTTGTCCCAAGCCCCGCTTCCCACCCTGGGAGAATAGTTGTCGAGTTGGTCATTTGACAACCAAGTGGAGTCCTATAGTGGGTGTATTGGTTAGAGCACTTGCTTCGCAAACGAGAGGACCCAGATTTGATTCCTGGGCTGAGCAAAACCTTAGGCAAATTTCCTCACTCCACATGCCTATGTTTACCTAGCAGTAAGTAGAAACCTGGTTGTTAACCGATTGGCAGATCACTTTCTGGGGGTAATAATCCCTTCAAAAAGTAAATTAATAATAATAATAATTTGGTCACTCAATCCACGGGTATTTGTGGGTTATTGCTGTGCGCAATTGGCTGCCGCGTTACACCCACGAAACATAGTAAATTCACTTCACTGTATATTCTGCATAGCGCTTTCAGACATCTCAACGACATAATAATAATAATAATAATCCTTGCATTTGATATAGCGCTTTTCACGTCGGGAGGACGTCCCAAAGCGCTTCACAGAACACACTGTAAAGTGAATTGACTGTATATTTGTGGGCGAACGCGGCAGCCAATTGCGCACAGCAATGTCCCACAAACAGTCATGGATTGAAAATGACCAATTTATTATTGTTTTTGACATGATAAGGTGCTATATCAAATGCAAGGATTATCATAATATATGTAAGTGTGCATTTGAACCCTCACTAGAGGAATAGCAGGTGTCAGGAACTTCCTGGCAGCTTCCTGGTGAGCAGCAAAGCATGAAATGCATGAAAGCATTGCCACTATCTACCTGCCCATCACTTGGAACAAAGGCATTCCAATCCATTGAACAATGGTTTCACCATTTGGAGGTGCAGAGAGTGGGCTACCGCTGCTTGGACTCCAGGTAATGCCTTCCAGCAGCTGCTTCCTCATTGACCATCTTGTGTCCACTTGAAGCACATTATAAATGGATTCTTAATGGTTGAAGCCAGATACACAGCTAAAAATTTCTTTTATCTTTGCTTGAGCGATGTGTCTTAACCCCAAATCCGGTAACCAACCTATCACTGGACATATTTTGACTTTTTTATAATGCATATACTTGCTACAGGTATGGGTTCTCCAAGTAAAGTTACCAATCAGAACAATGAACAGTTTATGCTTTGAGTTAGTTACTAAGAACTGGGATAAGCCTGTCAAAATTAATTTCACATATGATCCTTATAGCCAACACAGAAAATAAACTTAATCCCAGAGATCTGGGCTAGGATTTAAACTGTAATCCCAGAGATTAAAGTTAGGAGTTCCTGAAGCACTGCAGAGAAGGGCACTGTGGTTGTGCTCGTCTCTCTTCAAAGACGGCAAGATCCTAATGCAGGTCAGGCTTGTGGCATACAAGATCTGTGTGCAAACAGTTCTCTTATATCGATCGGAGTTCCTTGGGATGGAGTGGAGCGGCTTCCTCTGACCCAATTGCAAAGTCCAGGATCAAGCAGTGAGGCTGTGGCAAACATGGGAAGCAGTTGCAGGGAGGGAGGGCTCCAGATTACACTGATCTGTCGCTGAGCACCTGGCAGGCGGAGTTGGTTTCACAGCAGACATATCTATTTGCCAAGAACTCCCATGAGGACCTGGATTAAACAACTGGTGCTGAGTAAGTGTGGTTCGTGGCCTCGGACTTGGAGCATCAAAGAGTCTGGAACGTCACAAGCTATCCTGTAAAGGTCCTCCCTCTGTGGTGGTCTCAGTAGTCCAGTTCCTGAGCCTGGCGGGTCTGCAGTATTCCAGGACAGAGCTTTTGACTGCTCAGCAAGCCTGGCTCATCAGCAAGACTTGAGGGCAGTGACTGTTCCCACTCAGCTCCTTTTAACCCTACAAAAGCCAAACTGGACAAGCAGCAGGAAAGCTTGCCAGACAGTGCTTTCATTGGCAAGTTGTGTATTTTTAGCAGATAGACTCCCCATCAGCACCCCAATGCAAGTCATGACTTGCCAACCTGTTCCTAATACTCTCCAGAAATTGAGTAAGCAGAATGCTTTCCTCCACTCAGGGAGAGAGTTCACATTCCATTCCAATAAATATCTCTGGAATTTCCATGTTTAGGTGGGATGCATGGAACTCTTCAATTTTGTTAGTCATTAGCATGGTGATAATGTAACATAACATGTCGGAGCAGGAATAGGCCATTCGGCCCTTCAAGCCTGCCCCGCCATTCAATCATGGCTGATCTTCTAATCTAACTCCAGCTAATAACCTAACCCTGCCTTATCCCCATATCCCTTAATCCCTTTTGCAATAAGGAATCTATCTATCTCAGTCTTGAATATGTTCAAGGACAGAGAGTCAACAGCCCTTTGGGGTAGCGAGTTCCATACATTCACCACCCTTTGAGTGAAGAAGTTCTTCCTCAAATCAGTGCGAAAGTGCTGCCTCTGATTTTAAGGTTGTGACCCCTGGTTTTAGTTTCTCCAACCACTATCTGTCTACTATCTACTCTATCATGCCCTTTGGTGATCTTATAGGTTTCTATAAGATCCCCTCTTAATTCTTCTATATTCTAGAGAATATAGCCCCAAATTAGTCAGCCTATCCTCCTAACTCATCCCCTTCATCCCTGGTACTAACCTAGTAAATTTACGCTGCACCCCCTCCAAGGCAAGTACATCCTTCCTTAAATAAGGAGACAAAACTGCACACAGTATTCCAGGTGTGGTCTCACCAGGGCCCTATACAGTTGAGGCAAGACTTCTGTACTCTTATACTCTAATCCTTTCATAATGAATGCTAACATCCCGTTCTCCTTCCTAATTGCTGCTGCACCTGCAGACTAACTTTCTGTGATTGGTGTACACGGACACCCAAGTCCCTCTGGACGCCAACACATTCCAATCTCTTCCCCTTCTTAAAAAAAAACCTGCTCTACTGTTTTTGCTTCCTAGGTGGATGACTTCGCACTTCCCTACGTTATACTTCATCTGCCACCTACCTGCCCAATCACCTGACCTATCTATGTCGCGCTGCATTTTTTTAATGTCATCCTCTGTGTTGACACTTCCTCCTAGTTTTGTGTCATCCGCAAATTTAGATATATTAACTTCAATGTTAATCAATGTAGATCGTTGATGTAGGTGGTAAATAGCTGAGGCCCAAGGACTGATCCTTGTGGCACTCCACTAGTCACATCCCGCCAATCTGAAAAGAACCCGTTTATCCCTAACTCTTTGTTTCCTACCCGTTAACCATTCCCCAATCCACATTAATATGCTCCCCCAATTCCATGGGCCCTTATCTTTTAGACTAACCTTTTGTGCAGCACCTTATCAAATCCTTCTGCAAGTCCAAATAGACTACGTCCACTGATTCACCCTTATCTAGTTTACTCCAAATATCCTCAAAAAACTCTATGAGATTTGTCAAACATGACTTCCCTTTTGTAAAGCCATGTTGACTTGGCCTAATTATATTGTGCTCCCCTAAATACCGCACTACCACATCCTTAATCAATGATCAACTAACTGGCCTATAGTTCCCCATCTCTTTCCACCTTTTTTGAATAGTGGTGTGACATTTGCGATTTTCCAATCCATGGGGACTGTTCCAGAATCCAAGGAATTTTGGAAGATTAGACACAAGGCCTCCACTATCTCATAAGCTACCTCTTTTAAAACCCTGGGATGCAAGCCATCCGGACCAGGGGATTTGTCACTTTTTAGTGCTAACAGTTTCCCTAGCACCAATTCTCTACTAATGAAAATTTCTCTAAGTTGCTCCCTGTCCTTATCCCCTTGGTGCATCTCTATTATTGGCAGACTTGTTGTGTCTTCTAGGGTGAAGACAGATGAAAAGTACCCATTTAGGGACTCTGCCATGTCCTTATCCCCCATTACAACTTCTCCCATCTCTGACTGAAGTGGACCTACATTTACCCTCACTAGCCGATTCCTCTTAATGTATTTGTAAAAACTTTCACAATCAGACTTAACGTTCCTAGCTAGCTTACCCTCATACTCCTTTTTCTCGCTCTTAGTGAGTTTAGTTTTTTTTTGCTGGTTTCTAAAACTCTCCCAATCTTCAGATTTGCTGCTTTTCTTGGCAGTTTTATAAGTGTTTTCTTTTAATTTGATGCTTTCCCTAACTGCTCTAGTTAGCCACGGATGAATTGCTTTCCCTGTGGTACTCTTATTCCGCAAGGGAATATGCGACCGCTGAGAATTTTGCACTACATCCTTAAATATTTGCCACTGTTGGTCTACATTTTTACCTCTTAATCTTATTCTCCAGTCTATTTTACCTAAATCTTTCCTCATACCTACAAAATTAGCCCTATTTAAATTCAGAATATTTGCCTGGGATTTAACTATATCCCTCTCTAACTTAATGCAGAATTCAATCATATTGTGATCACTCTGCCCTAAGGATTCTTAATACCTACACTGCCGACTAGCCCTGTTTCGTTACACAAAACAAGGTCTAGGATGGCCTATCCCCTGGTTGGTTCCTCGACATGCTGCTCTAGAAAGTTATCTCTTATACACTCAATGAACTCTTCTTCTGACCTACTTTTGGCAATTAGGTTTTCCCAATCTATGTGGAGATTGAAATCACCCACTAATATCGTTTTACCTTTCCTAGATTCTCTACTGATTTCCTGATTGATACCCTGTGCTATATTGTGATCACTGTTTGGGGGTCTATAAACCACTCCCATTAATATTTTCTGCCATTTATTATTTTTTTATTTCCACCCATATTGTCTTGACCTCATCGGATTTCAGATCCTTCCTCTCCACTGCTTTTATTTCATCCCTAATTAACAGGGCTACCCCCCCACCTCATTTCCCATCTTTCCTGTAAACTGAGAACCCTGGAATATTTAACTCCCACCCTAGATCTCCTTGTAACCATGTTTCAGTGATGGCTACTAGATCGTGCCCAAATGTGTCTATCTGTGCTTTTGATTCATCAGTTTTATTCTGAATGCTTCGCGCATTCAGATATAACATTTTAAATTTCCTACCATTTCCTCTACTCTCTGATTCCTTATCTGCTTTGCCAAGCTTCTTACCCCTAGTTAACATATTCCTATTATCTGGCATGCTATTCTGCACTGTCACCTTTACTTTTTCTAATGCTAACTTATGGTTTCTGATGGATTTTTGCACGTGTCAGATATCTGTCTGGCCAAAAAAAAGATTAAAAGGGGAGTGTACTGACTACCCAGTCCCCTTCCTTGAATTTTGTGGAACCTAATTTTTTATCCCAGAAAGCGAATCTTTATCTTTACAATTGTGTAATCTTGGTCAGGTGTGGATAATGCCCTACTTGTACCATTTAATTATCTCGATAAAAATCTGTGTCATTTAGATAGAACATCCTGTTATTTAAATCTGTACAGATGACCTTTTTAAGTAGTTTGCATGTGGGCATAGTTGGGTCCATGCATCATAACTGAGTGATGTTTCAGGTTTGCAGAGCAATGCTGTACAGTGGAATGTTTCATTCTACATGCCAACTACTTGCCCAGTTACCCCCATTTTTCTTCTATGCCAAAGTGAGGCAGAGCTGTAATCCAGCAAAAGGAATTTCAGTTGTTGCAAGGTTACTGGCAATTTGCCCGAGGAGTGTAACTGAACTGGCAACATGACATACATGAGTCATTTTTTTCGCCACCTCTCGGTAGGGACTGAGTAGCCAACACTAGGAAAGATGTAATGGTGTATATTGGGACATGGATAGGGCGGGCAGTTTCTACCCTGAGAAAAATTAATGAGTCTCTCTGGGTCTCGTTTTGCTCCTTCACATCTGTTTCTGCTCACAGCACTGTATTCATTTAATACAACAACAACAAAATTAGATTTGTATCGAGCCTTTCACGTTGGGAGCACGTCCCAAGGCACTGGACAGTCAGAGTTTCAGACCCGAGCTGGGGTCAGGATTGGGAGGCAACAGTGAATGCACTCTCCTTTTCAGACATAGCTGTTTAAATCACTTTCTTCCTGCGTCAGATAGGATCAATTAATCCTTGCAATTGAGTGGCACTTTTCACGTCAGCATGACATCTCAAAGTAATTCACAGAATATAAAGTGTCGTCACTATTTTGTGGGCAAATGCAGCACCCAGTTTGTACACAGCAATTTTCCACAAAAAGCAATGAAGTGAATGACCAGTTTTATTGGGCAAATATTGACCGGACTTTGAACTCATAGTCTAAGATGAAACTCCATTATATTGCTGGGGAGTGTTGGTACCGCTCTTCAGATCAGACATTAGCTTCTGTTCAGCCAAGGGGTTCAGGTGGATATTAAAGATTCCATGGCACGATTAGAGAGAAGGGAATTTCGACGTCCTGGCCCACAATCCCCCAGATAAAATTGTTTATTCACTTAATGGCTGTTTGCAGGACATTGTTATGTGCAAGTTGGCTGCCATGTGTTTACCTACAACTACACAGTCACTACGCTTTAAAGTGAATTCTTTAATTCTTTGTTATGTGGTGAAAGGCACTGTAAGAAAATGCGAGGATAATTATTTATTCAACCGGTATATGTAACTGGTGTTGGTTTCTCTCAGTCACTTTTTTAAGTCCATCATCAACAAACTACATACAGTAATTTCTTCAATTGCAGAAATGCAAGACGACAGTTTAAATGCATAAATATATTTTGTGAATTTTTAATTTGAGGGCAACAACTGCTATATGTAAATTGCAGAAAATATTACTAATTCCATCATCAGTATGTTTCTCCACACCATCTCTTTTTCATGAAGGAGTTGTATTTTTTTTTGTTCAAATAGTCAATGTGCCAAATAACATAGTCCTATAATTATGCTCAACATAATGGCAGTGTTTTTTAATGAGTATTTAACAATTATACAAATTATTATATGAATACAAGGTATTAAATACCAAATTAATTCTTCAGAATTATATGATCAGGATGGCAATATCCTGTCTGCAAATTGGCTGCAGCATTTTCCCACGAAATACAGTTACACCACTTCACAGTATACTTGTAAAACGAGATGACTTGACGATGTGATAGAGCTGTATATCCAATGCATGGATTATTCACTAACCGGTTATTTCTGATTTGGTTTTAGGAGACTGAGCCAACCAAATCTCAGCAAACTTGTAAACCGGAACAAGAGGAACAGGAGGAACTGGATTTCATGTTTGATGAAGAGATGGAACAGATAGAAGGACGCAAGAACACATTCACTGATTGGTCAGATGATGACTCAGACTATGAAATTGATGATCGTGATGTGAACAAAATCTTGATTGTAACTCAGACCCCTCCCCACTTGCGCAAACATCCTGGGGGGGATCGTACAGGAAATCATGTTTCACGAGCAAAAATTACAACTGATCTAGCAAAAGCGATCAATGATGGCCTATACTACTATGAGAAAGATCTTTGGATGGAAGAGAATGAGCCTGAATATGCAACAATAAAGGTGAATGTTTTTGTGTGTTCAATATACTACTAATCTTGGCTTGTTCAGTATTGTAAACCAGTTGATAGAATTCTGTGGAGCATCATAGCACAGAAAGGAGCACTAGTCTTCTCTCCACGTGAACCATTTATTCTTCTTAATTTAAAGACCTGTCTCAGCGTTCTCAGCTCTAATGATAAAAGCCTTCACTTCTCAAGTCTTTGGTTATGGTAACTAAAATCCCCCTAATCCCGGTAAATTTCTGGGGAATCTTCACTGCTTTCCTTTCTACAGCTTCTTATGGTTCTACATTCTTCCAATAATTGACTGCCCATAACACATTACTACAGTTGTAGCCAAACCAATGTTTTATGTTGCTTTTAAAGTCAGTGCCATTATCTACCTGCGCTATCACCTTGATTGATCTGTATATCTATCCACTGCTATATTGTATTTAAAATGTGTATTTCCTTTATCTATTTGGACCCAAGATGTACTTCAGATTGTGCTACGTTGAATTGCCATCTATCTGCCCTTCAGTGCCTTTCACTATTCTGTTTTTTTTTACTCCTAATAGTTTTTCAACTACTGTTTTTCCAACCATCTCACATTCAACTTCATAATCTTGTCTCAACCTCTGATATTGCATTTGTTTTCAAAATATAGTAAATACACTATACAGTAATTGCACCTTGGAGTAAAATCATTAATTGTTCAGATGTCCATAGCATTTAAATCGCTTAAATTGGCATTTCGGGTTTGAACTATTGGTATATGGTTGGTCATCCTTCATGTGTAATTCATTTTTTGGATTTATCTGAAAAATATTGTCTTCTAGATTTAATTGTAAATATGTTGTACATTTTTTTTATCTGATATAGCCTTTGTCTCTTAATTAAATAATTGTTATACAGTTTTGTGTATTCCAAAATAGAGAATCTATTCACAAATGAATGCTTACTTCCAATTGATTTGGGAGGGATGTGATTTAGCTTTCTAACACCAGAATTGTAATTGGTTTGCTTCTCTGTCTACAATATAGCAAGAAATAGAAAATTTTAAGAAACTAAATGTAATTACTAAAGAACATTTTGATACCTTGGCTCCTGAACCACCAATTGATCCAAATCAGGAAGTCCCTCCTGCACCACCAAAAGCCTCACAAGGTAAGAATTATATAATCTGTTATAGACAATATTCTAATTCTCCTGCACCGTTGTCTTGTAGAATTAGATTCCTGTTCTTGCTTTTATGATCAGAGTAAGTTGACCCATTTCTTCTGGTTGAATTTAAATGCCCAGAAAATAACAAAAGAATGGCAGATATTTTCATTGAACAAATTATATTTGGGATTTGCTCAATTGACATGAAAAGCTACATTTGTACAGCATTTAATGTCTTACTTTCTTCAAATCAAATCATTGAACTTGAGTAAATTATATTAAATTTAACTAATATTTGTTTTACATATGTCTAGATGATAAGTCTTATAAGGGATCTACAGGTTAAAATTATGATGACATCCCAGCTCGTTAATTTAGTTATTGAACTGTTTAACATTGTAGTGTATTTCAGTGATGATTTTGTTGGTAATCATTCTCATGTGAGATTAACATCTCCACTTGCTACTTCCATTATGGCAGCTATGATTTGGCTTGGGCTGCACAGCACATGATCAGAAAAGAGATTTTTTCAAGGGCCTGACTAAAAAAAATTACCGTGTTTTACAGGACTGGTATTTTCACTAATTATGTAAGTAGTGCTAAATGTAATGAAATAAAATTCTGATATTCCACATTTTCAATATTTTCCTGAGATTTTTTGGGATTGTCCTCCTTGGGGGCTTCAAGGTAACATACAACAGAATTAACATGTCTTACCTGAAGGACTGGAGGCAAATATTCTTCTCACTCAAGTCCTGTTAACCATGAAATCCAAAGCTCTTAACAGGTAGGGTGGTCCTAGCTGGACAAACAATAGGACGCTTGCCAGACAGTGCTTTCGATGGCAAGCTATGCAGTTTTAGCTGGTTAAACTTCATTATTACCCCAGCACACACTCTGAGGTCCCCAAGCCTTGACTCTTGCCAGTCTTCTCCTGATAGTCTAGAATTGCCAGCATCCAGCTTCTTGGGATGTCCTCCTTCGTGAATGAGCTAAATGCAATTTGTTGTTGTTGGTTATCTTTATATGAGTGGCCATCTTGAGTGACATACTGAAAGGCACCTGCCCCATTGGAACCATGCCCTGATCTACAGGAGAGAAAAGTGCCATTAAATGATGCAGAAGCAAGTCTTAATTGTTTTTTCTGACAGATTATACTGAAGAGCTCGCCAATAAGTTGTTTGGTATTCCAGAACCTCCATCATCAAACCTGGCCCGTTCTTTGCCTACAACTGTACCAGAATCTCCAGTATGTCCTGCCAGAACACCAAGAACACCTCGAACACCTCGGTTACAGGATGCTAACAAGACTCCTCGGTTCTATCCTGTTGTTAAAGAAGGACGGTCACTAGATGTTGAGGTATAATAAAGGCTTAGTTTGTACTTTTATCTAAAACCTAAAACAAATGCGTTAATAAGACCTTGCTTGATCACATCTATCATTAGAATGTCTTGATTAGTGTGTGATGCATTACCTGATGAGAAGCTGTGGGTTATAAATGTTATATATTGGTTGTTCCTCACAAATTATACCATTTTAGATTATGGAATGATGGCATAGCAGAATCATGACACAACAACAAGATAATATTTGTATAATATACAACAATATATTGTACTTATATAGCGCCTCAGAGCGCTTAACAGTCGTGTAGCCCAAGGCCAAGCCAGGGGAGTGGGAAGGTGACCTTAGGCACGATCGAAAAGGAAGGTCTTCAAGCGTGACCTGAAGATTGGGAAGGAGGGGGCGAGGCAAAGGGTTGAGAGAGTTCCAAAACTTCGGGGTGTAGTGGCTGAAAGCACGGCCGCCGATGGTGGAGCGGAGGATTCGTGGAATGCGGAGAAGGCGGGTACTGCTGTGGGGAGAGAGGAGGTTAGAGAGATAAGGGGGTGCCAAGGAATGGAGGGATTTAAACACTAGAGTGAGAATCTTGAAGTCGATCCAGGGAGCCAGTGGAGTTTGGCAAGGACTGGAGTAATCGGGTTACCAAGTTTGGTCAGGGTGAGAATGCATACAATGGAGTTTTGAATGAGCTGAATTTTGTGAATAATGGAGGAGGGGAGACTGGCGAGGAGGTCGTTAGTGTAGTCTCGCCGAGAGGTGACAAAGGCATGGCCAAGGGTTTCGGCAGCTTTCGGGGTGAGGTATTGTCATAGCCGACAATGTGGCGGAGGTGGAAGAAAGTGGTGCTGGTCAGGGATCCGATGTGGGGAATGAAGGAAGGATAACTGGGGAGCTGAGGAGGAGTGACCCAAATAATGGTGAAAAACGAGGACTTTGTGTTCCAGATAAAATCTTGTTCTGATGGATATTTGGGGATGAGGGTAATTTTGAACCAAGTATTTGCCCTAGCCATTGCTAAAAAGGAGAAAATGGGCAAAACTGCAAGGGGCCATGTCACTATATTTGTAAGATAGGAATATACATGACCAGAAAGGATCATTGCGACCCATTTGGCCAGTTCCAAAAAGAAAATATCATTTTTAAAAGCGTAAAATGGAAAACTTTAAGAGTACAATCTTTATAGCCTGGACAGCATGACTAAACGGTGGCTTTCACTTTTCAGTTTCACTTTTTTATGTCAATTTTGTGTCCAGTAATGTTTATTAAATTGCTGGTATATGCCCTCTGCTCTTGGTCTGGGTTTTCTCTTGTTGGAGTGAGGTTCCACTGGAGCAGTTCCTCGCCAAGAGGCCGTTGTTCATATGTGGGCCCCTACCTGTAGAGTCTCACCTTTTCCCACCTGTCTACTTCTCACGCAGGCAGTAGGGGGTGCTCTAAAGAGGAACCAGGAGCAGTAACCCTAGCTTGTTTTCTCCTCCCTAACACTGGGAAGTCCAGGGTCAATTTAGCCTCGCTTGCTGCCCCGGCTGAGATCCAAAAGCCTGGCGCAAGCCTCTCTGCTCCTGGTGCATAAGCTGCAGTTCTATCCACAACATCCTCAGGGCAGCCAATTTCACTTTTCATATACAGTATAAAATCTGTACTTTTATTTCAGGAACTATTTCTATAAAATAAATCGTTTTTATAATTAACACTTTATCAGTGGGTAATTGAAAGTAATTTTTGGTGGAAAGTATCTGGAGTAGTCTTTGTCGTGTTTAATGATTCAAATACTCTTATCCTAAAGTTTAAACAACAATGTTTAGCCTCATGTCAAGATGTTGCCATGTAAGTTGTTTCCCATTTTCTGCATGTGCTTCTATGTGGATTTCTATTTCTACACATATGCGCTTAAAGTGAAGTAAAGGTTAGATATCTTGTTGCCTTACCATCATCTCCCTTTTTGTACATTAAAAATCTTGCAAAATATCCCTATTTAACCTCACAATCTCTTTACCTCAAACCCTTTCTGACCTCACAGTTGACTTGACCTGTGTGCATGATGTGAATATGTCTGAGGCTAAAATGTAATGTAATTGAAGGAAAAAGCAAGTTATTGGTTGGTATTAATGTTTAACGTGGATATTGTTGCAGACCCCAAGGAAGAGAAAGACAAGACACAGTTCAAATCCACCACTTGAGTGTCATATTGGCTGGGTTATGGATTCAAAAGAACACAGGCCACGAACATCATCTGTCAGGTAAATGTTACTGTTAATTCGTAAGAAGGTGTACCTTATGAAAAGTATGAAACCAGAATGCAGTTGTAAACTTGTCTTATGGGGGTGTATGTTGTTGTATAAATCTAAAATATCTCAATCGATACAATACATCAGTCACATAAATAGAAGCTTGGCTAATCCACAGAAATGCGGACTATTTCCGTGAGCACCATAACTGATGCACACCAAGGCAGGCACACAAAAAAAAGACAAATGTAACATTCAGAGCTTTTTAACTCACCAAGCCAACATTAATTGAAGTTCAGAAATTCTGTTATCTCACCTCAATCACTTTATATATCAGATTTTCTACCAAGCCCTATGTTTCTCTCAATTAATGTTTCTGATGACACCTGTTAGCATTAATAGCACTATTAGATATTCACAGTTTGTTTCTGTCAGGGCATTATTGATTAATAAAGCATACACCCCAGAAATACCCTTTTAATTTACCTATAGAATATGTATGTTGGTTATGTTCTCGCAAGGTAAGAAGCATCATAGATAGAATTTGATGCTCCTTTGCTAAATTAATAATGTTGGTAATGCATTATGCATGGTTCTATTTTTGGTGTCTGACATGCTCAGAAACCCATTGCCCTCCCCAAATCCCCGGCTTCCAGTCAGCTGTGTGAAGTACTTTGAGACATCTTCTCAGCATAAATATAAATTGTAATTGTTAAAGCATCAAATCTATTCAAATTAGCAGATAATTCAGAATCCCCAAACACCACACAATTTTTTGCCCCAGCACGCCATGGATAAGTGCCATAGCTTCACCTGGAATGGGGTTTGTGAGGCAGGTAACCCCATGAGCAATGGTACATCCCAAGCACCAGCATGGGTGGGGATCGCTGACTGTCCAGCGCCTTGGGACTTCCTCCTGATGTGAAAGGCGCTATGCAATGTAATTTGTTGTTATTTGTTCTCAGATCCTTGGTCAGAATGATCAAGATGTGTTGATCCTGTGCCTTGGGACGTCCTCTCGACGTAAAAGGCACTTTACAAATGTAATTTGTTGTTTGTTGTTATTACCACTGAGATTACCAATGAGTGATCTCATTTGGTATTACCAACATAGTTGATTGGCCATTCCAAACAAAAAAGGAATTACACTCTACCAATAAACTGTCGACAAAGCAAAATATTACAATGGAAAATCAAGGAGGCAGGTAATCAGTTGCTAGACAATTTCACTGTAAGACATTAAATTCCTAGTGTAAAGTTAATTTGCAAATGTCTTATTATTTTGGCAGTCAGGTTTCTTCCTTACCAACCCCTTCATAATTAGAAAATGCATCAAGTAAGCCAGTAATTTTGATTTAGCAATTTTTTTTGTCAACCGGGTGTCTGACACACATCTGTAGAGCTTTTCCTGTACCTATATAAATTTGACCTATTGTTTGTAGTTGGAAGAGACTATTTGCATTAGGGAGGGGAGAAATATCCGCTGCTGTGTTTTCTCGTAGCCAATTCTAGCAGAAATATGTGAAAATTTGAGCGTTGTTTTATTTACCTTGGTTTGATTTCCTTGTGTTTTGTAGCAGCTCAAATGCCAGTCCTTCAGAAGGTACTCCTTTTGTTGGAAGTTATGGATGCACGCCAAGCTCACTACCCAAATTCCAGCATCCTTCCCACGAACTCTTAAGAGAAAATGGCTTCACGCAACAGGTGTACCACAAATATCGCCGAAGGTGCTTAAATGGTACGTTTTTGTTTAGTGAAGTTCTATAAAATCCTCCATCAAAACTGCTGTTACCATATATAAATAAATTTATAATATATATTTATTGTATTTTGTAATTTATTTGCTTTCCATTTCAAAGTTTATTTGCACCTCTTAAATAAACTATTTATATTTTCTTAGGGTTGAGTGAAGGCCATGCTATGTATAACTCAAGAGAATGTCTTGCTTATGTTGGATGACAAAAGAGGGAACATGCCCAATAGTTAATGTATTTTGTAATTGAAAGCCTTTGCATGTTAAAAGCTAACTAAAAAGCTTATAATAACCAACTTGTGGCTATCACTGGTTTGGGAGTGGGGGTGGAGAGATGATTGAGAAAGTGAGATAAGCAGTGTATACCTGAGGGCTCTGAGATTGCAACAGAGAGAGGGAGAGAGACTGAGATAGTGAGAGAGAGACAGACAGAGAGAGAGAAACTGGGAGAGAGAGACTGAGAGAAAGTACATTGAAGAAGTCCTCCCAAAAGGAGTCCTCATAGCTGATAAAGACGAAATGTCTGCATGTCAATCTATATTCTATATTGGATCCTTTGGTTGCAAGCATAGCTGAACATAGCTCACTGCTCCTTACTTTTCAGAGAGGAAGCGTTTAGGAATTGGACAGTCCCAGGAAATGAATACGTTGTTCCGTTTCTGGTCTTTCTTCCTCCGAGATCATTTCAACAGGAAGATGTATGAAGAATTTAAACAGCTATCTCTTGAGGATGCAAAAGACAATTACAGGTATGGTCTGAGCAGCTACCAAGACCAGGTCATAAAAGTGGGGAAAAGTGGCTGATTTTTCTTCATTCGTTTAACCACATTTGAGGAGAAAGGTATCAAGGATATTATCCCTTACATAATGTGGGCAAGAAGCTTCTCCTCGCTGTCCTGATGACTACTCACTTCCTTTTAAGATATTTGTAACTACTCCCTCACCCAAACCCACTGAGGTTAACTGCACAGGTCACGATTTGGATCTAGCACCTTTCTGGTCTGTGTGACTCAGCTACTCACTGAATAAGCTCATCCAACCTTAAAGGTGCAGCCCATTGGTTCCAGAATCAGACCCAAGTTCAGCCTTATTTATTACTTGAAATTACCTTGGATCCCAATACATCTGTCAAAACTAGCACAGAAAGTGTTGCTTATCAACCCAGAAAAGTTCTTCTCAAAATAAGTGGAAGGACCTGAGCCTATTGTGGACATAAGATTTAAAAGAATTGTGAATACTTGTATTTGCCTTCCACTTGTCAAGGCTAACTGTTTGGGTGACAGATTCAATACCTGCCATTAGAAAGCAGTAGGAAATTTATTTTGTCCTTACTGCCAGCACAGCAGAGATTTGCTAATACAGTTCAACCTCAACATTGCACAGGATACATTTTAGATTAGAGTGGGTATTGGGGAAGCACTGGTTAATCCATCTTTATACATCACATAAGTTTTACTCAATCGATTGTTATCCACAGCATTTGATTGCAAAAGTAAAATACAGTATTTTTGTACAATATTTGAGCTGACAATACAATGATCAACTACTAATTTTCATTGGTTATATTCCACATAAAATATTTAACTTTTTCTTCATTTCTATGTATGTATTTCTTTTTCAGGTATGGATTGGAGTGCCTGTTTAGATTTTTTAGCTATGGATTAGAGAGGAGGTTTCGACATGATATATTCAAGGACTTCCAAGAAGAAACAATAAAAGACTATGAAGCAGGTAATCTTCTTTGCATCTTCAATCTCTCCCCATATTTTCTGTGGCGGCTGACTAAAGATTAATACTAGTTTCCTTTCATAATGTCACCTTGTGTCCATTCTTAGTCTGTAAGTCTGGATATTGAGGCCATCAGACCCAGATTCTCTTTTTCCCCAATGTCAAAATACATTCACCTTCTAATCAAGTGTACTGGATAGGATTCACAATTCGTGATTTTTGTTCACTTCGAGTCACCTAGTCCAAGGTAGCTGATGTATATTAAAAAAGTGTGCCCCTACTCGTTCCTGAAGTAGTTCAACTTTAATTTGTTTGCAACTATAGAGAACCAATTCATTGGGTAGTTTTATGTAACACATCCAATGATTAGTTTAAAAATGACTGTAATGGACAACATTGGCTATTACAGAGCGCTTTTAAATGATGCTTCAGTTTCCAGTCACATTATAGTGAATTCACATGTCCTTTTCTAACTGTCTGGAGTTCAAAGTAACAGAATAGTAGAGTAGTATGGAAACTTAAAGTCTTCAGATATCTGTATTGTGTTGGATATATAGTTTCGTTTTTGAAATGTATTTTTGATTTGATGACTTATTGATTTGATGACTTGGAATTATATTTTGTAGTGATTTCCTGCATTGCTTTATTTGCTTTTAGGGCAGCTTTACGGTTTGGAAAAATTTTGGGCTTTTCTTAAATACACTCAAACCAAGAATTTGCCAATTGATCCCAAACTGCAAGAATATCTTAGCAAATTCAAACGTCTTGAGGACTTCCGAGTTGATGTAAGTTTTTTTTTCTTTTGTTTGTTTTTGGACAAATTTGTTGTTAATGTTGCTCTGGTTAATCTGCAAAATGGGTATTGGAGAAGAATATTTGTGTGTTTTGAAGCTTTAACCATTTATTCAAGAAACGCAAGGGATGTTAGATGCATATGGGCTGACCTGATGTGGCTCAGATTAAAAAATATATATATATTTTGTGTTAACTTGGCTTAGTCAGCACTCTAGCTTCCGAGTTAGAAGGTTGGGCATTAAAGCCCTACTTTGGGACTTTAAATTCATAATTTAGCCTGGCACTCCAGTGCAGTGCTGGAGGCTTGCTGCATTGTTGGAGGTGCAGTCCTTTAGATCAGACCTTGAACCAAGATCCTGTCCCATTGGAACTGTTGTTGTTTACTGTCTGCTGTTGTTTGCCACCCCTTACCTGCATTATCTCTTACAAGATATCTTGTATTATTGCTAAGGAACACATTTCCTTTGGAGGCACCCTAGTGTTAACATTGTTCGCTATTTCTCCAAGAATAGAAAATAATTAGGCCTTGCATACAGAGCGTAATTTTGACATCTGGCCAGTTAAGGTCCAAACGTCTTGAATTGGTAACACATCCTGATGTTAACTACCAGATGAAAACAACCTCCATTTTATGTGGCGCTCAACTCAAAGAAAGAGTCTCTCACAGAATGAAGATCCTGTTTTGAATTCTGCCTCCAGGCATAACTGGTATGGCTTCCAGCTGTTTTACCATATATAATGGTTTCAGTGTTATAGCTGGTTAGATACAGTGGAATAATGCAGGATTCCTCAAAGGTTTACTGACTTTGATGGTTTGAATTATGATATTTAAATTTTTGTTTAAACAAAAGTATCTTTTTTTTTGTAGCCTCCATTTGGTGATGAGGTTGGTAGAAAGAGACGTTCTTCTGGAGCTGAAGAGTTTGGTCGCAGAAGACATCTATCAAACTCTTCCACTAAATCCATAAATGCTGCTAAGCCCATATCCACCAATCAGCCTCAGGTCTCCAACTTCCCCAAACGGGATTCTGCATCTGGGAAACCCAAGGAACAAAAGAGCCAGAATATTGCTGCCATGACTGCCACTGAATCTGAAACACCTGAGAAATGAGACTCTTTGCATCACCCTCCTTGCTTATACAAATCGCATCAGTATTTTAAGCTCAAGGAACTTGTCCAGTTTTTAGACGCTGCCTCAATGAAAGGAAAAGAAAACTTGAAAATGTTCATTTACTTTCAGTTTATGGGGTGGGGAAAAACTACTAAGTTCAAATTTTATGAGCTTTCATCAAGCTATTTTAGGGGAGGGGACTATCTGTCAAGCTATTTGCCACTCCCTTCATTCTGATTGTCAAGATTACCTTGAGCTACTGTTTACAAAAACGCATTCCTGCACAATATGCAAAAATTACACATTTGAATTTTGGGATGCCTTACATTTCAATGAGGATTTCTCATACTTCTTAAAGAAGAAAATTTATTTTTTAGTCCATTACCATAGTGCTTTCGCAGCCAATTCCTCCTATTGTTAATTATTAATTGTATATACTGATATCAGAGTAGAAAACAAATTCTGGAAGGGTGTACGATTGAAATTATTTGAGTTTTGAGGGAAAAGAAAAAGAATCTGGATAAAGAAAACCAATTCATACAGACAAGATTGTATAACTAAGGTTGCAACATAACTGAATGAATAACAATAATTAACAAAGTGTGTTGAGAATGGTTGTGCATCATCCTGGATGTGGAGTGTTTTAGATTTAAAGCAGTTGGTTACATAGTTTTTCACAGTTTAGTGGAGGTTGTTAATGATCCATATAAAAGGTATTGTTTGGGCTTGAATGAAAGTAGAACTGAAGAAGATTGTGCATTTTTTTTTAAATGGTCTTCTGAATCACTAATGGTATCTTGCACTGCTTAAGTTTACCTACTGCTGCATCTTGACGTGTAGGCAAAGATAAAATAACTGGTTATTCTCATTTCAGGAGGTACGTGAGGGTCTAGTTTAGGTTAATCCCTTTTATTTTATGCTTCATGTGCTTTCAGTAAAGCACTACAATTGATTTGTATTTTTTTTAATGTCATACCGTTGGAAAATGTTTAAATTCTTGTGGAAAATTTACAAAAAAACTTAAGTGCTCATTTGCTGAAGTGATTTTGTTTAATTTTGCTCCATTTTAGGAATTATTAAGACCGTGTCATTATTTTTAAATTATACTTATAACAGCAGAGGTGGGTTTCTGTTTTTTTTGAAAGGTTGTATTCACACATCTGTGAAAATTACTGGAAAATGATAAAATCTGACACATTTGTATTTAAATATGCTATCAAGAGTAGCATTCTAATGCAACCAGTGAAAACAATCTGTTGGTCTTCCTATCTGTTCAGACTTGAATATAGGAAAGTCTGGGCTGTAACTATTGACTTACTGCTGGTAATCTGAGGGCTAGAATGAACTGTAGCAGTGTGGAATCCACATAACTACCTTTATAAATATTCTACAGCTGTACATGATTTAATTTGCAGAAATAACATTCATATCATACCTAATGTATAATCCAGGCTTAAACCCAGCTAAGAGAAGTGATTGTAAAATACTTGGATGAAAGATTGTATATACCATTCAAAGTAATCAGTTTAGAGTATTTACCCAAATTTTTTTCATCTAATGAAATAAGTGTGCACATCTAGCATTAGCGCGTGTAATTTGTGGCAATCTTCCCAACTTTTATAAAAATGCATATAAAAACATACAAAATGAATCAGAAAATATAAACCAGTTGTACTGTGATTATTTCCGTTGTGAGTTTTGGAGTTTGAGGATGCTGAGCAGGTGTAGTAATGTACATACATGTTGCATGAGAAGGAAGCTTCAAAGTTTACAAGGACTGAAAACCTCCTTATTTTGCCAAGGTAAAATGAGACAGAATTCAGAAACGTGCATCAATTACCTATTTTGTTAACCTTGGTGGTCTGTATGACTGTTTATGTAGTCCAAATTTTAAAATTGCGGGCACCATTCTTCAGCATGGGATTCTATTTTAAGTTATTTTGTCCGTCTTTTCAGTTTTCCTGTATAATTCCCATACCAAGATGGTGATGGTATGAAGTTCCCTGTATTACCTTTGGAGGTGGACACTCGGAGGTACTCAAGGAAGGGATAACTGAGCTCCTCAATATATGTTATATTCCTGAGAAGTTTTAAGTTAATGCTTTAAGTAAGTGTTTTTTTAAACTTACAGACTTATTTATGGTAGAAATGAGCACTAACCATTCTTTCTAGAAATATTTGTAACTTCAAACATACAAACGCAGAAAGAATCCCACCAGCATGGTAGATTGCTGCAAATTCTGAACATTTAAGATCCATATTCAATTGGAAAAAATTGGAAGATTTTCTATTCCTTCAGAAATAACTCAGTTGAAAAATTGCATTTTGATTTTAAGCTTTCTCAGGTTGAAGTGGACCATCAGATTCTATGCACTAGTTGATGCATGGGTAACGTTGAAGGGTGATTTATATCTAGTTATGTTTTCGTCACATCCAGGCTCGATTGTGGAAACTCCCTCATCGGCCTTCCCAACTCTTCCCTTCACAAGCTGCAGATCATCCAAAACTCTGCAGCTCGTGTACTCTCACGCACCAGGCTCCACGCCCCCATCACTCCCACCCTCGCCCGACTCCACTGGCTCCCCATCCCCCAGAGGATCAAGTTCAAGATCCTCGTCCTCACCTTTAAGACCGTTCATGGCCTTGCCCCCTCCTACCTCTCTGACCTGCTGACTCCCTACCAACCTGCCCACTCCCTCCAGTCAGCGGGCTCTGGTCTGCTCCATGTTTCCCGCCCTACCATCGGTGGCCGGGCTTTCAGCCTCTCTGCCCCCACACTCTGGAACTCCATCCCACAGACCCTTCGCCTCCTCCCTTGCCTCCTTCAAGGCCGTTCCTTCAGTCGCCCTCCCACCTCTCTACCTTCCCTCCCCTCTACCCCACCCCTCCCCCATGCTCTGGTCCTGACCCCTGACTGTCCAGCGCCTTGGGACTTCCGACGTGAAAGGTGCTCTATAAATGTAATTTTGTTGTTGTTTTGTGTCGAAGAACCAACAAGAATAATTTTTTATTCTTACATTTGCCTTACATTTGTTATAGTGTCTTTCCCATCAGCAGGATGTCCCAAAGCGCTTCACATGATTTACTGTAATGATTGTGTGATTTGTAGGCAAACATCAGTCAATTTGAGCCCAGCAATACCCCTCAAATGGCCATGAAGTGAATGATGTGCATCAAAATGTTTTGAATTACAGTATGCAGAGAGGATGTTCTTCAAAACCAGGATAAAGTTGTGTTTGGGTTTCCATGATACAGTGAGACATTCCTTTCCGCTGCAGTGTACAGAAGGTGCAAATCAGGAATAGTCCCTTAAAAATTAAGCAAGCAACCATATTGTGGTGATCTTTGATGCTGCATTGTTCGTGGCTAAACATTCATATATCAAAAGATTTTGACAGTGAAGCTCTTCTTAAATTACCAGCCCACTACTTTTGTTGCTCTTAATTTTCTTTTATTTCTTATATAGAAATTTTCAATATAATGTCCAATATAAATACCCTTCCTCTTCCCTTCCTCCAAGATGCAGTCTTTTAATCCCTAAATTTGGCATAATTACTCAATTATTGTTTTCTATACACTATATGCCACTTACCTAAATTCATGATTTTTATAACTACTTTAAATACAACAAAAATTCAACATTTTGTACAGACTCAATACGCAGCACTTGTATTTATTTCCTCTGTAGAATGCAAATGTTTCGTGAGATTTCAGAAAATGCTTGTATCTTTTCAGTATTCAAAACGATGTACAAAACCAGTACTCAGCCAGTAAGTACTTTTAAGGTTTACAAGCCATATTTCCTAGTAAGACCAGGAGGATTTAACAGTTCTTATGATTGGAAAGCAGTGGGGCAACACTCAAGAGCAAGAGATTATTTTTTTGGTCAGTTATGAAAACCATCCCTATATCTGAAATGGAATCTTTCCTTGGAGGGTTGAACCCTGCTTTGTCTAATTCCATGGAGTATTATGCACAGGTTGGCAAGAGCTGAGACTTGGGCATCCCAGAATGTGTGTTGGTGTACTGCTGGAGTTTAACTCACTAACACCAAATAGCCACAAATAAAATGAAAGTCAAGCTTTCCTGGTGCTTGACCAGCTAGGCCACAAAAAAATCAATTTGTTGGGTGGGGATTAAAACCGCAGTTTAAAACCATTGCTGGCTGCCTGCCTTTCAACCTGAATTTTAAGTCAGCCATATTCCTCTAACAGGCCACAGATAAGATTCCTTCACGAGACTGGGAAGGAGTGAAAAGGTAGGAATATTAATAGGAAAAAGTGAGTGTTTTATATTAAAGGGGTGAGCTTTCAAATTCAGCCAGCATTTTAGCAATGTCGTGGACTATCCTAACCCATCCATCCAGTTTGTGATTCTCTCTGCTCCCCGTGCTCTCAGACTCTGGAGTCCTGTAGCTTAGTGGTTAGAGCACTCGCCTCACAAGCGGGAGGACCTGGGTTTGATTCCTGGGCAGGGTGGATTGTTAAGCAACTTTCCTTACCTGCCTTACATGCCTCTGTTTACCTAGCAGTAAGTAGCAATCCGGTTGTTAGTTGATTGGCGGATCGCTTCACCTGTAGTAATAATCCCTTCCCAAAACATTTTTTTAGAAAATAATTTGATCATTTCAATCCATGACTGTTTGTGGGAAACTACTGTGTGCAATTGGCTGCCCACAAATTCTAGTCAATTCACTTTACAATATACTCTGTGAAGCGCTTTGAGATGTCTCAAAGATGTGATAAGGCGCTACATCAAATGCAAGGGTTATCATTATTGAGCATACCAACTAATTCAGTACTCCACCAGCAGTGTAAGCCTAGACGATCTGAATTCAAAGTTTGAAAACCTAACTTGATAACCCGTAGCCAGAGGTGAAAGTTCTACTAACTGAACCAGGCTGCAAGTAAGTACTGTATATAAATGCAACTTATTATACTGTGGCAGAAATGACCAACTAATGTCTATCCTCATTGGTTGTGGAGATAAACTGAAGTGGCTCCATGGTGACATGTTTGGCAATGAAATATCAGAACCGAGCCCACCAGCCTGGGTCAGTGGTAGCAATCTCGTCTCCGAGTCAGAAGGTTGTGATTTCAAGACCCACAATGGGACTTGGAATCACATAGTCTAAGCTGGCCTTCAATGACAATGCAGTGCTAGGGGTATGTTGCGTTGGAAGAGGTGCAGTGCTTTGGATGAGACATTAAACAGATCCTGTCTGCCTATTCACATGGATATTAATATCCCATAGTACTGATTGAAAAGAAGAGTGAGATTCTCCTGGTGTCCTTTCCAGTGATCCAAATACTCACTCACTTCATAGTTGTTTGTGGAACATTGTTGTGCGCAACTGGCTGCTGTGTTTTGCCCACAATATACAGTCAAAATCACTTTACAGTAGATACCGTAAAGTGCTTAGAGCCTTATCTGTCGTCTAGATGTCTCAATCTCAAATGCAAGGATTATTATTTATTTTTACCCATGTGGAAGGCTTGGTAATCGAGTTCCTAAGCCAGGCAAGTCTGGATAACAGCACAGCCAGCCTGGCTCATTGGCAGAACTTGGAGGAACAGACCAGTCACTGGGGGCAGGGATTCTTCCCACTCGGAGCCTGTTAACGTGCAAGCTAAAGCCCTAACTGTGTCCTATCTAGACGAGCAGCAGGAAAGTTGCCAGACAGTGTGGGGAAATGTGTTAGGGTGTTCTTATATAGAAACAGAAGTCGCTGGGAACATGTAGCAGGCAGGCAGCATCTATGGAGAAAAGAAAGTGAGTTAACGTTTCAGGTCAATGACCTTTTGTCAGAACTGCCTTTTGTAGGGTGTTCTTATTTCTGATTGTTGAACAGAAGATCACTACTGGAAGTTGCATATGTGAGTGGATCCTAAGGACACCATCGGGCTGAGCTATGAATGTACACTCTGTGAAGCCTCCCATGTAGTCACTTGGGTGAGGCTAAGTTTTTTAGGGTGACTGATGTGTCTGTGAAATATTACTCAAATGCAAGAAAAGGAACTTACAAACAATTTTAAGAGGAGAAAGGAGAAAAAAATAGAGAAAACAAAGGGGTAGGAAATAAAACAAGGATGTGTGTACATGTATAATTTTATGACTGTTAAAAAAATAAAAGTGTTTTTTCTCCTACCTCTCATAAAATAGTGGCTTTCTGGTGCAATTGCAATTCCCTTTACATACCCTGCCACCTCTCAACTGCATACTGCCAACTTGTTTTTTGGATAGGTTTCTAGTACTCTGGTGTGCTTAAGGACAAGTTGTGAGCCATTTGATCCCTTCTGTGACCTGCTGCAATTGTATCTAAGATTTAAGATTGTTAATATTTTAACACAATAAAAATAACCACATTAATTATAGAATAAAATGGTGTACACCAATTTATAATCCAGTACATAACTTTGTGAAGTATGCCATCACATCGGTGGGCAATGAAATATTGTGTAGAACTCAAATTATTACGGTTTTCTTATTCCTTAGATTAGGGGTGGGCAATTATTTTGGCTGGCAGACCACTTCACGAGTTTTGGTAAGCTTCACAGGCCACATGCTTAATAATAGCTCAAAATCAAGTGTTACACTTGTGCATGCATAAAATAAAGACTATATAATTGACATTCATTAAAATTAGGTTAAATAAAAACAACTCA